CGGCCTGACTTCTCGTTTTTCGCGACAATTTATCCCTCGGTATCTTCATCCGAGTCCTGAAACACGGAATGATTACTCTCTCTCTCTCGGATCTCGAGTGCTCTCCGAATGGCCGCGACTCGAGGAAGCCCTCGAAGACCGCATCTCGAATCCCATCCGTGTGCACCGATTGTCCCGATTTCTGTCGATTTTTAAAAAAGACCGTCAGAATGCGCGGACTCGATAAGAAACTCTAGCCAGTCGCCAATCGAGTTACACTATCATTAAAGGTGATGCGAAAGTGGCATGTAAGGTATTTCATGAAACTCAGGGAACGTATGAACTGACCCCGTCATGCGAAATTTAATTCTTAATTAGGCCACCACGTGGACAAGTTTCAAGTAACAAGTAGACAAGTAAAGCAACCCCTCGGGTGCCTCTTATAAAGAGCACGTGCTCTTTAGAGATCGAAAATCGAGACGCTCCCGACGCTCGTCCATCGACGAGCAATTGTCATGCAAACCCTTGCCTTCCGTAGAGATCAAGTGCTACCGCGATAATACCGGAATTAAACTTGCAGGAGGAACAGGTTACGGTTTGTCCGCCGCAATGGGCCTGCCGATAAACCCTAACCTCCCTCGGAGGATCCTCTTCCTGGCCCCGTGCCCGGAGTTTCGATCGGCTCCTAGTTCGTGATGTGGGTTTCGAATCTCCAATCAATTAGATATTCCCGGGCCTGGCATGCAGGGCCAACTCCAGGGGGGGCTGAAATTCCTGAAATCGCCTCTAATGGACTCCGAAATCCGGAGAGATCTTGGGAGCCCTGTGCACTTCGAGCCACCAGCACTTCGCCGCATCGAGGCGACACGAAAGTGATGTATATAAAGCTGGAATTGCCACTTTAGCACAATTCAATAAAATTTGTTGCAAAATTTATTGCCAATTCATTGCTATTTTATTGCACAAGAGAAAAATTTTTTGCTCCTATACTTTTCCGAAAAATGGTGGCGATGTCAGCTTTATATAAAGCTAACACTGTCACAATAAAAAACAATTATTAAGTAAATGTTCATCGATGAATTATATATCAGAATTTATTGCTAATTAATTGCTCGCGGAAAAACCAAATTTCAATTTTTTTTGCTCACCTCTAAAGGGGCGAATCGCAACCCCTAGTGATGATGGCGGGACAGAAACATGAAAAATATGGAAGAATCGAACTATTTCTTCACGTGGAAATTAATTGCTCCGAGAAGAACCAATATCTTTGTAAAAATACAATTTTCAAACCTACATTAATTAGCGATTAATTTCCACGTGAAGAAATAGTTCGATTCTCCCATGTTTTTCATCTTTCTGTCCTGCGATCAGCACAAGGGTTGGCGATTCACCCCTTTAGGGGTGAGAAAAAAAAATTGAAATTTGGTTTCTCTGCTAGCAATTAATTAGCAATAAATTCTTGCATATAATTCGTCGATGAACATTTACTTAATAATTGTTTTTTATTGTGGCAGTGCTAGCTCTATATAAAGCTGACATCGCCACCATTTTTCGGAAAAGTATAGGAGCAAGAAATTTTTCTCTGGTGCAATAAAATAGCAATGAATTAGCAATAAATTTTACAACAAATTTTATTGAATTGTGGTAAAGTGGCAATTCCAGCTTTATATACACGCGATATACACGTCTCGCTTATGAAACTTGTCTCCGAATCGTTTGACACATCGCAACGTGACGCGATCACTGGATTTCTCCTTACGCGATGGGTAGATATCCACCTCTTATGATAGATAAAAAATATATATATGCATTCCCTCCCGGGGCGACGCCTTGGCACTCTCGAGACGTAGCCACATAGGCGAAGGCCGGCTTCCAAGGAAGTCGAGTCGTCGCATAACGGGTTTTCGTGTAACGGGGTCGGTTCCTCCTCTTCCTCCGTGACCGCGAGGCCAGGACGCTGACCCAGAATCTACCGGGAATCCGTTTCTCTCCCCTGGCCGATCTTATTCCCGTTCCCAGGCCTCGACGCCCGGCGCTCAGCTGACTCCTTGTTAACGCCATATTCGTAGGAGGAAGCGAGAGGCCCCGGAATGCACCGCGTAACGATCCAGGAATCCGACGATGATTCCCTCCTGTCCTTCGCGGGATTTATTCGCGTTTATTAATTGCGGGAAACGCGCTGAAATATTGGAAATTAAGTCGGCGATAAGAGGTTGCGACGGTCGGCCTCTCCGGAATTTCTCTCGTTGACAGTAGCCAGAAAATTCAATTATGCGATGCAATGGGCCGAGAAAAAAGAAATATTACCTTGAATGGTCCCCGGAAGAAATTTATTATTTTGGTGAAATCGTTATCCTTTAAATTAAAAAAATATTTCTTTGGTTCGGTGACATCTTTTTTCTCAGGATGGTTGGACGGAAATTGGAAATTTCATATTTCCCCGAGGAAGATTCCGGTAAACTTTCAGGAAGGGTTGAGAATTTTTCGGTCATTTCCGTCGTCTCTTCGGTGTCTGGTTGGGGTCGATTTATACATTAGACGTTGAATCGTCGGTTTAAAGATTATTGTCACGAGCGGGAGCATTGTCATTCCCATCGTGCCCGCCGTTACCGTACTTCCGTTTGTCGTAATACCGCACAATGGTCGCCATTGGTAGCCTCATTACCCTTACCCGGTTCCGATAATTCCACCTATTTATCCTCGATTGTGTCCTTTGGCTCGTATCAATTTCCGCGGAACGAGCGGCTTTTTCTTTTTTCTCTTTTTTTTTTTTTCTCTCAACTCGCCTCGCCCCTTCATTGCGAAGGGTGAGAGTTCGATCGGGTTCAATCGGGCGATTATTCCCCGATCGACGATCCGTCCCCCGTGGACTTTCCTCGGAGTTAAGAAAAAATAAAATCTCCACCCTTAGTCCTAAAGAAAATTAAAAACGAAACATCCAAGTCAGAGAGAATCGCTACGAATTATTAACCTAACTTCACAGTTAAAAAAAAAATGTTTCTTACCTATCCCAGCCTAGAACCAAGAACAGATATTTTTTTTGAAAAATCAAATATCACGAGCATCGGGTGCTTTAGAGCCTCACGTGCTAAAATTCCAAATTATTCGGTGCACCCAGTTTGAAAAGCCAAAAATAATATCAATGTAAATTAGACCGGATAATTTATTTTTCTTAGGAAATTCAAATTTGAGTTGGGCGATCAGCTGTGCCCACCCCCTCGGTAGGCCGAATTACGAAGTTACGGCCAGGCCGTATTTCCCGATTACTTTCGTCATTTCCGGCGATCGTTCGACTCGTATCAATTTTCCGGGAGCGACAGCGTCATTTCCGGTCATACCGTGGAATATATCCGCGATCGAAGCCCCCTTTCCTCCGTTCTCTCCGGCGATTCTGCGAAGGATGATATTGGTCCCTGCTTGGGCGGCAATACCCATCGAGCCGTAAGCCTCGAGAGCACCTAGAACTTCCAATGGTAGGCGGGGGTGCGTTATAAATAAAAGGGTCTTTGGTCTGCATTAATTTAAAGCCGACCTGCCGGTCAGCTCATCACCGATGACCGGAAGAGAAAGATCTCCGGGTTCCTTTCAATCCCTGATCTCATTTTAGGGGAGAGTCCTTCGACCCCAGTTTCCAATAAAAGCATCTCACCTGTTCTTATCACTTATCCGATACCTGACAAGAAAATCGGCATGACTTAAATCACCGATATGAACGACATAAACTGTCATAAAAATCAAATCAGTCGTATTTTTAGTACCGTAATATTAAATAATGGTCCCTTGGATACTTATAATATATCACTTGTAGATATTAAAGTAACTCTCAATCGTGATTACACGATAAAGAGGTGGAGTTTACTCGCGGTAATTTCCCTCTCGTCGACGGAGAAAACCGACTCCGAGTCGAGTTCACTTTCTGTATCGAAGCAAGAGATACAGGAGAGATTATTCCTCGGTGGGAGGGAAATTGCGGCCCGATTAAAATTAATGGGCTTAATTTGGAGGTAATGTCCTCGGGAGGATCGAACGATTCCCGGTAATCGCCCCGTTGCGTATTTAATCCGCAATCCGCGGATCGTTGAATGATCGGTCCCGTTTCGAGTTCCCACGCTGAGAGAAAAAATTCACCGAACCGTGGAAATACTTTCTTAATACAAGGAATAATTATTCGACGCGAATAAACTGAAATAAATTGTCGCATTCCGAAGAACTGTGAATTTCCTTCTTTTTTTTCGTGTGCGGATTTCCGTAGACGTTGATCGGCCGAAAACTGAGCGCTTCCTTTCGAAACCTTTGAGTGGTGGTTACGCAAGTTTCTAGACATTGCTTTTGACAGCTCGTTAAAGTTCTACGTCTTGTCGAGTGCTCGTGAGAAAAACGGCCGGACTTCCATCGGGTTTGTACTTATACAGTAGACTTTCGCGGCCCTGGCACCGATCGTTTCGCGCAGTTTTTAATTTTCCGAGTACTCATCGGACAAAAGGCGCCGGGTTGGCTTTTCCCTCCTTTCTTTCCGGCTGATTTCTCGCTTTTCTGCCTTCCCTTGGAGACTCGCCTTTCCGAAAACGCCGCCGCCGATTGCGACTCGGTGGAGGATCCCTAATTGATAAGGCACTGTTATTAGAGGCGCTTAATTAAATCGGCGGATAAAAAATTACCACCTGCGAAAACATCGAAAAAAGATACCTGGAATACTATGATTCACTATTTGAGATAGATAAGATCGCTGATTAATAATAGAATAATAAAATGATGTCAGAGTAATTCGTTGAAATCGACGCGACCTTTGGTCCCACTTTTTTACTTATTAACTCCTTTGCGATTGCCTTAATCGAATCTCTAAAATCTAATTTCGAGATGATATCTCAAACACTCGTTACGCTCGCTGTATCGACGAATCGTTGTCGGAACATTTACACGGAATGATAACGAGTGATAACGATCGAGGCGTGTTACCTCATTGCAGTGACATCGTGCTCGACACCTTATGATAATGTCTCAGTTATTATATCGTCCATGTATCTAATTGTTAACAAACTCGTCCTCGCGGGGATAAACTGTGATATATATAGTATAAAATTTTATTCGTTAGTCCATTTCGATGTTTAGTATAAAAATATGGATAATGTCAGTGCGCTCCTCTCTACGTGGAATGCCTAATAAAATCATCGAGTGTACCGTAAGTAATCGACATTTCCATATGCAAATCCGGCCTGAATAGACAAGACTTTTGTGAGCGGGGTCAATGGATCAGCCGACTTTTAACTCTTTTGAAGACCAGTTTTTTTTTTTTTTTTTTGGGTCGCAAATTCCATTTTCCGTCTTCAAATAATTTCAAGGATTCCTTAACAAAGTGAACCTCCGGTATGTAAATCCACCGGCGACTCGAAAGGTCCATTCGGGGATTTACAAATGAATGAGCGGCTTAGAAAATTAATTCGACGATTGAGTAATTCATTTATCACTCCGAGCCTTGACAAGCTGGTAAACGTCGGCACGTCTGGAAACGTGATTTCCCAACAAAGGGTTAATGCCACGGCATAAAAAAATCATGAGTGTAAAGCCGATGTATAGTTCGGGAGTGGAGCTCGATGTTTAAGGTGTCTACACACGTACCGATAAATCGCACTTTACGTTCATTCACCGTTCCCGGGAACGTTATTAGTGCTGCATTGAAACCTTGGCTGCATAGAGTGATCTCATCGGTTATTTTAAGCCGTAAGACGGCTTATACCTCGCATTAATTATCATACTAATAAGACAGTCGCGATGTAACCATTTCTAGTTTACTCCACCCTGGCGTGCGCGAGCCAATTTGTAATTATAGCGGGGGCTTTCAGGATTCAAAATGACTTCCAGATAAAATTACCCCGTACGTATCTGGTGTACTGAGCATTGAACTCGTCGGCTCGCGATACGAGAGCGCAGAAGTGCACAGTCGGTGGTCCAATTATCAGTTACGCTCGTTAAAATGCATTATGATCGCAATTACGAAGACAACTCGTAGAAATTAAACCGAGATCTCTGGAGTCGTTTTTCTTCCCCCCACTTTATCCTCTTAGATACCGAAATAAAATCAACACGCAGAAAAATCATTTGTTCGTAACAAAAAAAAAATGAATACTGAGTAAATATTAATTTCTATAAAAAAAAGGAAATCTTTCCAACATCGATGGCGAATGAGACGAACGGTGTCGCTCAAACGTTTTTGTGGATTTTTATGAATCGGGTTTACCTCAGGGTGGAGTGAACTAAAATCGATTGCGTATCTTATCGGCGTGATGTTTTTGATAATTTCCTTTCAGAAAAAGGACGGACTCTCCTGCGAAATGAGCTGGGGAGCGTTCGTCAGGGTGCAGGGAAAATCAAGGAAAGGCCAAACCGTGACAAAGCACTCGACAAATAGCGAAGGACTCCTTCTTTGAGAATCCCTTCGCAGGTTATCGTCAACCTCTGCTCTCTTCAGCTTCGACCGGCTGCACCATTCTACGTTGACGTAATTTCAAAACATGGCCACGATGACAGTTAAAGACTTCTACCGGGACAAGTCTATCTTCATCACCGGAGGCACAGGATTCATGGGCAAAGTCCTGGTCGAGAAACTGCTCAGGTCCTGCCCCGGAATCAAAAACATTTATTTATTAATGAGGCCAAAGAGAGGACAAGACGTGCAGCAGAGGTTACGGGAACTCCTTAACGCTCCGGTAAGACTAATAAATATTCACGAAATTTATGCACCTAAAAAACAAAATTGTCATAAGATTATAAATGTTGAGCCTCAAACGTGAATTTCGTATACTGGGAATTTCTTACTAAAATGATCTCGTAACGTCGTGGTACCGTTTTTGACAATTGTGCAGGAGACTTAATAGTTCAATCAGTTACAACGTGGTATACATTTCGCCCGGGGATATGTTATGGAATAACAATATTTTTTCTAATATTGCATCTCCTTTCCCAGCGAGGTTCTGACGTTGATAATGAAGCCATCGTGTGGGGCCTCCCTCCGAGTTTCTTTTTATCCCGCTCTCAGGAACTTCTTAAATGGACCCCTTAGAGCTTAGATAACGCGAATGTATTCTTTTCAACAGCTGTTCGAGAAGTTGAGACGCGATTGTCCCGACGAGTTACTGAAAATTGTACCTGTAGCCGGTGACGTGACGGAGCCGGAGCTGGGCATTTCGGAGGCCGACCAGGGAATGCTGATTCGCTGCGTCTCCGTCGTCTTTCATTCGGCCGCGACCGTAAAATTTGACGAAGCGTTGAAATTGTCCGTAACCATCAACATGCTGGGAACTAAACGCCTCGTCCAGCTGTGCCATCGCATGCAAAACCTCGAGGTAAGGACGAGGATCACGCAACGGATGCGTCCCAAGATTTACATAATGATCTTTTCACTTACGCGCGGAGTACACCTTTTGCGCCACTTTCCTCATCCTTCGAAGAGTTATTAAATAAATATCTGATACGAGCCCTTGTCGGACCGCAGGTCCTGATCCACGTTTCCACGGCTTATTGTAACTGCGATCGCACAGACGTCGGGGAGGAAATTTACCAAGTACCGCAGGACCCTGAGCAGGTAATTGCCTGTACAAAGTGGATGGACGACTCCCTGGTCGAAGAACTAACGCCCAAGTTGATCGCTGGTCGTCCAAACACATACACGTTTACCAAAGCCTTAGCAGAAAGGATGCTTTTAAGAGAGAGCGGTTCTTTACCGGTAGCTATCGTAAGACCTTCCATCGTGTTATCATCCTTGAAAGAACCAGTCGCAGGATGGGTGGACAATTGGAACGGTCCGACCGGCATCATCGTGGCTGCCGGGAAGGGTTTCTTTAGGTAAACTTGCCCCCGAAGTTCCGCGTCGATATCCATCAGGAATCGGAAGTTTGGATACGTTGATCGATTATTAACGATGGCTTTCCGATTTTTAGGACAATGTTGTGCCACGAGGACAAAGTCGCCGACCTGGTCCCGGTGGACATAGTAATCAATTTGATGATCTGCGCGGCGTGGAGGACCGCCACCCACCGGACCGACAGCATCACGGTATACAACTGCTGCACCGGGATGCAGAACCCGATAACGTGGCAGAAGTTCGTCGACCTGTCGTTCAAGTACAGCCGGATGTACCCGGCGAACAACGCGATCTGGTACCCCGGAGGACGTTGCCGGAGCTCGGCGTTCCTGAACCGAGTCTGCGTCACCTTCCAGCACATGTTGCCGGCCTACCTGGTGGATTTCCTAGCTCGACTGAGAGGCTCTCAGCCCTTCATGGTGCGCATCCAAGGCAAGCTGGACAAGGCGGCTCGGTGTCTGGAATACTTCAGCACCCAGCAGTGGAACTTCAGGGACGACAACGTCAGGAGGCTGGGCGAACAGCTGAGCCCCGAAGACCGGCAGACCTTCATGTTCGACGTCAAGCAGATCGACTGGCCGTCTTACCTGGAGAACTACATTCTAGGGATCCGACAGTTCATCCTGAAGGAGAACCCGGAGACACTGCCAATCGCTCGTTCACACATTACAAAGTGAGTTGCCCCCGTTAAGGTGATACGAAAGGCTCGTTTTATATTTATAAAACTATTCTCCGAGTCGTTTGAAAATTCAACACCTTTTCGTATCACCTTAAGAAACTCGGTACATCGTTAGGAATTATTATTTGAGTTTATTTAACCCGTCGGTCGTTCTTTTAGATTATATTGGCTGCACAGAGCGGTCCAGTTCGGGACGTTGCTGATAGTCCTGCGGATCCTGCTGCGCAGCTCATTGACGCGCTCGGCGTGGTTCTTCCTCCTGTCAATCGTGCTGCGCCTCTGTCGCATGATTGTTTGACGGCTGAGAGCCAGAGAAGAGACCGAGTCCGATGAACGTAACGAGAAGCGAACGCCGACCTCGGAGCATAATTTAAAGGTGCGAATTGCCCTTCGACCTTGTCGCTCAGCCTCCCCGACGATAACGCGCTATCTGCACTCCCATAAGTTGGCCTTTTCAATGTTTGTATTCGTTCGTAAATATTAGCAGCGGCTAGGGGTGTGACGCGATTCCTTCAAGATTGTCGGCTACCGGACGAAGTGGAACGCGCCCAGCTGCGCGGGTCTGCATTCTGTATACCCTTTACCCAACCCGTGGAATTGCATCGAGACTTTTGCTACCGCGATCGTACGTACCCGTTGGACGGCGCACTGCTAGGCGCTTCGGGAACAAGCCAATGGTGGGAGCAAAATTGGTCCTGGTCTTATGGTCGTGGTCTTGGTCTCGTAAAACGTGCAAACCTGGACCAGGACTTGGTCTCGCACGGTTGGGACTTGGTCTTGCAAAAAGTGCAAGCTTGTAAAGCCAAGGCCTGATTTTGTACGGTCGAATCTTGGTCTTAGCCTTGCATGTACGACCAAGATCAATTTTGCCAATCGCTGCAAGCCGATCACGCATCTGCAACGGATTTCGAGGCTGTCCCTGATCTTCGATTTTGACTTTAAACTATTAAGCGGATCAAGTTGACCGTGGCTCTTAGTATCGAGGCGCGATCGGAGGAGTTTCAAAGACAACTCCTCAGGTCGTCGGATCGACATCTTAGTTTCTCCCTATTCCGCCAGATCGATCTCGAGAACTAGCCGAAACGTTTGCACGTCGACATTCGGAAACCATCTATTAACTGGGAGAATTGTATTGAACTACCCAAAGGAACGATTCTTCTAATTCCTGCTCGCACCATCAAAGGAAAAATGCCGATCCGTGGCATGTGCTTAACTCTGACGGCGAAAATCATTAGGTCCACGATCACCTGCACGCATTCGGGAATTTTAGCCATCAGTATCAAAGGATTACCCCTTACCAAGTCCTACGTTTCTTTAATGGATTTTTGTTAACGAATGAGACTTCGTGCTACTCGAAGTACCGAGCTCGGAAAACGAGAAACTAACATCGTCTATGAATTCGCAAACGAAGTTGGGGAGCTCCTCGAGGTCGATCCTCGTTCTTCAGGGCCGGACTCGAAGTCGAGCCGATACGTGGGCTGGTTCACGTTCCTAAAACGTGTCCTTGCTTAGAATTTTCCCTAGAAACCGACGGATAAAAAGGTGATACGATTCGGGAACCCAAAGCGAGCGCATGTTGGGGTCTCGTAGGCTTCACATTGAAGTCGTTCCGCGATGAGTGAATTTACCTCGCCTTCCATTTCCCTGAACCGTTTCCTCTGTTTGTCGTCTGTTTCCATGGACGAGTTTAAGCCGGGGCTGTTCTCGAATGCCGTTTGGAATAAGTACCTCACAGCCAAATGGACTTGGCGAGTCGAATTACAGAACGCCTCGGTTACGATGTAGGTCGTTGGTCGTCGCACGCCTGCAACACGTGGGCATCAGGATACTCGGCAGAGTTTCGCGCCAACTACATTGAAACGCATGCGCGATACAATTATCGGTACTTTGCACAACGTCAACTTGTGATATTAATACCTCCTACCGTTCGATCGTTAGGGAGACGTCGAATCGCTGCTTTTACCGACCCGGCTTGAAAAAAGGCGACTTTTTCCTGGCAATTAAGGCGGGACGAAAGTATCCCCTTATGAAATGTTTCTCCAAACTGGACCCACCAAATCGTTTCAAGTTTAACCACGTGGACGTGGAGACTCTAAGGGAAGTCCCGACATCTATGATATTTAAACTTTTTAAATATATTCTGCTTTCGGGATGTCAATCGGTTCCTTAAGTCGACTCGAAAAATCCGGGAGAAACTAAGGTGTCGATAAAAAGTCGAACCCCCTTAGCCCTCTAGCTACGACGGACTTAAAGAAGCTACATCACCTGTACGGACAGCTCGAGTGGGAATATTATGTATATTAATACGATATTCACGTTGCTTCAAATCCGTAGTAAAAAGGGGGTCCACTATGGTTTCGCTTTGTAAAAATGAAACCACTATGCGTAGGAGCGTTTCGTTAAAAAAGCGTAACTATAGTGGCTTAGCTATTTCGTAGCTAAAAGGTCGAAGAAAATGGTTCCTCGGGAACTCGGTAAATGGACGCAGTGGATTTCCGTAGACGAAGCTTGCATAGTGCCTGAATCCTCGTACACCGAGTTTACAAGGAACGCGAGGAAAGGGAAAACTCGGTAGAGGTTTGCACCAAATACATGAAATTCAGGGGAGAGGTAAGGCAGGTCGGGGTCGGTCGGTAAAACAGCGCTCCGTCGTCGCCGTAGCGAAAGACGCATTCGGCGTGGACGCGGAACGCACGCGCGGACAGTCGCGGGTCCGCACCTCGCACGTGCGCTCGGAAGTCTGTTTTTTGTTTCCGTCCTAACCTTACTTTATCTTTCTCCCTTTCGTTATTTTTCGGGGACCGTTTATGCTCTATTCTTAATTCTTACTCGATCCTAATTCCGAGCAACGAGACTTACACCCCTCTACAGCTTATACGGTTCGTTGCATAACCTCCAAACTGCTCCAAATTAAAACGAAATGGTGGAAATGAAAATCGTTCGATTTTTCTATTTTTATCTACATCTTAAATTTAAGCACTTTAAAACATTTTAATTTGTAATTGTTTTTTAGTTCTTATTTCATCAACGCACATGGGTCTTCCCAGACGGTCACCCATCCGAGTACTGACCACACCCAATGTTGCCTATCTTCGGTAATCGAACTATTTTTTTTTTTTTAATTTTATTTAACTTATGACTGAAACATGAATCCATACAAGTTTTTAATAAACCAAAGAGTACATTTTACTTAAATCGTTACACGTGGCCCGCGCTACCCTAAAGTTTGGAAATAAATTAAAAACTAGGAACTTTTATAGAATTAGAGGGGAAATTAGGGTTAAGATAAGGGAAGCATAAACGGTCGCTGTGAACAATTGAAGTTAGGACGGAAGCGTAAACCTGACTTCGTACGTGTCTCTGGTCGACGTATACCGGAAGTCCTGCTTTTTGCATCGTCGGTATCTGACATTCTTTTTACTTTTACTCCGTGATGTAAGATACCTAGTTAGATATTTTATTACGTCCAAGTTATACAGAACCCGCGGCGCGTCCCGCGTTCGTTAAGAACGCGCCGAGACGCGCCCTAGAGTAACTTTATTAGCGGAAAACGAGAAACCATCTCCGAGCCGAATCTGGGATGCGATTCTCTAGAAGTTGTTAGACACGTCGTCGGGATTACGCGAAAGCCTTAGCACGTTAAGTACTTAGCCGAAAGTAATTGCGTGTCAGTCCGCCTCGGGGAGTAATCCAAACTCGTACGGGGCACCGAATAAGTATATATATATATATATATACATACACAAATATATATGTACCGCTCCAGTGAAAATATCTCTACGTATCTTACATACTACGAGGGATGGAGGCTTATCGTTACTTTGACCACTACCGCTGTGTCGGGCTCCTCTCGTTACATGCACTTGTAATAAGTGCCACGTTACCACCTGATTTAAGTCATACCGATACGTAAGTTAAAGGGTAGCCATGCTTCTAGGAGAGTGAATGGGTTTATGTATTTATTTAATTTATACGATAGCGTGTTTGCGAGCATCCGTCGGGGACGGAACTTCTCTTTTTATGAATCAACTCGCTGCTCGGATCCTGAATTAATGTATTGAAATATTGGAACGTATCGAAATTTTCTCTGTTGGGGAAAAAAAAAAAAAGAAATGTTTGAAGTGACAGGGCATGGGGAAAAAAAATGAATAACATGAGGAATATCGTTATCGTGTAAACTTTTTTGCACCCTGCGTCTTACCAATTGTATTAGAATCGAGACCTCGGGTAGTGAATCCGGGTGGAATAAATAAAGTTTAGGAACGTCTCGCTGAAGTGAGTAAGCCTCAGCGAATGAATTTAATTTAACTTAGCGACTTGGTGATGAAATCCACTGAAGTGTTCATCCTTGGTAAATGGTTCGATTATCGGTCTCTTGTCCTGTTTAAAAACAACGGCATGGCAGTAGTGGTCAGAAGCAATCGCCGGTGCCCATCCCTGCCCACTACAATTAATGGCTGTATCGTAACATTGTTTTAATTTTGAAGGCATTGGCAACTTAGTTGTTACAACGTATTGTCAGCGCAGGGGGTTCTTCATCTGTTATGTAATTTTTAGTTGATACGGAGTAAGATGCGAGACCGTCAGTCGTAACTAAGGAGCGAGAGAAAGAGAGTTAGTTGAAGAAATAGTTGTACATATGAGACCGTTAGTGTTAAATGAATATTGAATTAGCGTTATGTACTTTGTGGACATTGATTCGGTGTGTACTGTAAGTTCGAGGATACTCCGAGAGAGAACGAGAGCTCCCTTGTAATTTTAAGAGCTAGACGAAAGCCTCGGCATACGATGTCTTTGTCGTTACCCATACCATCGCACGGTTCACGTTGGTCAGTCCTTTGGTCACCCTTTCAAACCTAAACCGAACCAATTGTATCTCACACGAGGGACATTTTTGAAGCGATCGGACGATTGTATACCTTTCATTAATTGGCACTTTCGCGGAATACTCATACGCTGTGAATCACGCGAATAAGCGTCAGCCTGATAGTCGTCCAGCTTTGTGTTACCATTTTTGAGTAACGAGTCTCTGCGTAACACCTCGATGTACCCTAGGGTAAATCCTCTCACGGAGCATTGCTAATAAGCATGTTAATCGTTAATCGATTAACATATATGTCAGCCGTGGTAGAATGCAGGAATACGATTCAAGATTAGTAACTCGAGAGCGAAGACTGCCATTCGATGACAAATGATCTGGACACAATTGCCGAGAATCCGTTAGACGCGTGGATGCTCACAAATGATATTTCAATACTGTATCCAATGATTCACTGAACATAATCGAACGATGCACTCGTAAATAAATTTGGATTGCCTCTACGAAAGAGTACCGCGCCAAGAACAATAAGCAAAAATATCTGATGGGCATAGTACCGAAGACGCTATGATAAGTCTTTTAGTGGCGTAAAGATGGACTCGGTACCTTCTTTTTTGAGCTTCTCCCTCTTTGATGTAAGATCTCTGTACCCCGTGTAGAAAGAAATTATTGAAATGTCGCTCGTGTGCATCCAGCCTAACGTATTTTGATAGCTTTCTCGACAATGCGTCACGCTTAGGGCAAAACTAAATAAACCGATGGTTCCCCAGCGACATCTCGCGGTTCGTTTCGAAGTTATCGTTTCGTCGGAGCGAAGTCGCGCCGGTAATTGCTCGTACTATTATTAGTCGGTATGTACCCGATAGTTGTAAATTTTGTGCCACTCGTTGCCTGTGCCTTTAAGATGACTAAATTGGGAATCATTTGATCGGCGATTACTTTTCTCCGGGATATCGAAGCTAAGCCATTGTTACCCGAGTCGGAGTGGGCTTCCCCCGAAGACAGTGTTTCACGATCGCTGCTGCCAACCGATACAATAGAGATATGAGACGCGAGGAAGGAAGATTCGAGAAGATCAATTCTGTAACTTAAGAGAAAGAGGTAGCGCTGCGAAGGACACCACTTGCTAGTCTCGTCTGTAATTTTATCCGGTCACACGATGCATACAAGAAAATAATATTTAATATTATTAATTTAAATTAATATTATACTGTACTATTATGAAAACAGATTAAAAACAATGAACCATTGCAGACGCCGTGAACTCGATTTGCAACCGCGAGGGCAACCGATCCATCCGGGGAAACCGAACACGTGAAATGGTCATTTATCCTTCTACCTGTGAAAATGGACTACGTTAGACCTAGTCGATTAACAGGGAATTCAATTCCACGGGAATGAACGTAACCTGCAAATCTGGTGCTCCGCGATAATTCCGAGTTTGTTCGGGCGGATCAATACCGATTAACTGGGGGATCACCAATGAAAGACAACTAGAAATCGGTATTTACCCACGGTAAAATAGTTCTGAGCGACGCAAAAACCTGGCGGTAAAAAGAAATTCATCGGGGTCCTATCAAACGACGCCACGCAGTAACGGAAGATGGCGGAAGGTATGTCGCTGGTCGAGGAGAGTACAAGTTAGAATTTATTAATATAATAACTCATAAATCTAACAAATACTTACAACTAATGATTACCTAAGATGACCCCGAGGGTCCGTCAACCGATGCTGAAATTAAATAATTACACAATTCGGTACTCACCGCCACCCCTACGCCCTGGCTTGTGACGGCAGAATTCTACCACGCCACGGCAGGTAAAAAAAATTTCGGCTTTTTATCATTGACGCGACCCTTCGACTAATATAAAATTAAATAAGGACTTGAAAAAGCTTCGAGGAGCATTTTTGCGAAAATTCTCGATCACGGACGCAGACTTTCGCCATCTTCTCGGTGCCGTTTATCGATCGCGGCGCGGCGGTGCCATATCTCCGGCGACTTGGTCCCGCGCTCGCGCACGCCCAGCGTTGGCCATTTGCGCGCTGGCGAACGTCGCATGTGGCGAGTCCGCGTTCCCATTCCCCGAATTGACAAGCCCCGGCATTCCTGCGAACTCAAGATACCTCAGGTAAATATTAGAGCACTAGTTTTGTAAGAACCGCCAATACGGTAACGCTGCGCTCCCATGGCCAGGATTGACCTGTCTGTGGTCGCCGAAGCGCTGCCGCGAGTGGCCATTTGCATTTGCATTTGACGTTCCGCCGACGGTCCCGCGAATGTCCTTTGTTTTATTAAACCCGCGCCCGGCGATCGGGGGAAAAAAAGTCGACCGACGAGTTGTCCGAAAAATGCGTCGCGGATGGCGAACATCCAAATCGTGTGGTCTCAAAATGGCCATAATTGGGTTCGGCAGTGGTCACGTGGTCGCTCGCGGGACCACGTGACTGGGCCGGCTCTTCCGATTGGCGGAACGTGACGACGATTCGTACGTATCTCTTCCGAATTCTTGGCACTCCGGACATTTTCTCATTTCCCTGATTTAACGCGAAAGTTTTCGACCGCAGAAATTGTCTCTTATCTCGCTCCTTCCTATCTTGAATTTTTTTAACTCCTCTGTAATTTAATGCGGAAGTTTCTGCCCGAGGAAAACGGACAGGTTAGCGGGTATTTCGATGACGTTCCAAGTTCCGTGATTTAATTTCTTCGCGGAAAATTCTATTATTCTTAAGATTCTGGGGACCAAGTTTGAGTCAAAAAACCTTAATTAAGGATATTTTATTTTGCTGGGAGATATTATGTGGATCGAGTTTAAAATCGTATGCGAAATTTTTCGTTTGGTAAGATTTAATTGAACAACAGTTGAACTGAGATAATTTGAATTATTTTTAAAAGAATTCAACGGCCACAAAAGAGGCGTCACTCGAAATATTAAAACGAACGGCTGTATTCACTTCCAAGATTTCATTTTACTTAGGAAAAAGATGCCTTATCACGGGAATAAATAAAGGGATTGTAAATCTGTTGCCAAAAAAATGCCAATTGCCATATTAACAATGGGTAATGAAATAGTACGAAGGTGGTTGGCACGATTATTAAAGATAAAAGGTGACCGTAAATAAATTTCATTGCCAGAGATTTACGCCATGTTGCGGCGTTCAAGAAGGAAAAACCTCAAAGAAATGGAAAATCTTTCATCGCCAGGAATTGATGCGATGGAAAGTCACGACGAGGAGGATTCCAGAATGGCGGAGGTAAATGTCCCTAAATTAAAAATGGCAATATAATTTTTAATCGCATAATTGTTTACTCTTTCTCATCGACGCACAATGACTTTATTTTCAGCTCGTTCTCTCGAACAAAGGTGGACCAAAGCTTATCCATAATGGTTTCATGTACACGTTGCATAAGAAGCAACCCCATAACATCAGGTGGAGGTGCGTGGGTAGAGCGTCGCTCTGCCGAGGGAGTTTAATAACAACGGCGGACTGTAAAAAACCAAAAGTCCGGATGGACCACAATCACAAACCGGACTTTGGTGCCGTCTCTATGGCAAGGAAGCGATACATAGCCCTTGGCCGGCCTCGTATACTGCCAGGTTAGCTCATACGATTGCCGAGTTATTTTTACTTAACATCATGAATGAAGGATTTGTTGAAAAATAGTCAGAATTATTGGTAGCACATTTTAAGCGGAAACACAATTCCCGAAAGATATAAGAACAGGTGACCCACTCCTTTTAATATTTTACAGAAGACGTGCTAAACTTTACCTGCACACCCACGTTCGCGGATAAAAATAAGAACATTATACCACCCCCCAACTTACAGCCCGAGTCCAAAATTTGGGAAAATCCCCCGGCAAAACCGATTCCACAGACAAGTAAGTTGATTCTAAGATAATACATGCGATAGCCTTTCATTTCTACCGAGCGTGTTACATAAACCATTGCTACATCTTTTTTATATCAGAAGTTGTTTTTAAACATTGATAAACCTGAGATGAAAGGCTGTCTCGGTAGCATACATTAGACATAAATAATAGAAACGCGAATACGGAACAGAATCCTGCAAACCTTTTATCGTATCGTATTACATTGGAAAATGTCCACAAGGACTCAATACCCAGAGTGCTTCGAAAGAATGCTTTAAAGAGCGTTAACCGGAAATAAAATTAAATCTAAAGCAGGAAGCCGATACGGAGACTTCGTTCCGATCTAACGTAACGTCCAACTGTGTGCTAGTTGTTTTCCACACAGTCTGTCGTTATTAACGATAACCAATGGCAGCGTTATTATCGCGATAGTTCCCAATAGCGTCGCAATGAATTATAACCATTCGGCGATAAAGCAAACCGATGAGTGAAACTGCAGCTTCAGAGCTCCTTCGGATCTCAGGACATCGGGGTCAGTTATGAATATTTAATTCCATGACTTTGAAAAGGGACATGTCCCTCGCTGATACCGATCGCTCCGTCCTCTCTGCACCGAAGTACAGAATCCCTGGAGCGATATCGTTATCTTTGGACCTTGCGCTACAGCGGCGCACCCTTTGGGCCAGGCTCGACACTAACCCTATTTTAGTCGGCGCAGTTGCCTCGCACCGGCTAAAAACCGATCCCAAGCGACGCGCCGAGAACCGAGTCGCGTACGGTTCGTCTCGAAATATTTTCCCCGGATCGATTGCGAGCTTTTCAACCGAGGCGTCCTTGCTCCTCTCCACGCGGCCGCGGGACGCCACGTGCGAGCGCGCCAAATTCAAATCCGCCTCTACCCAAAAGCCCATTTGCCCATAAATCACAAACATTTTCCCACCCAGCCTCTTTCCCCCTGGATTTCCTCCCCATCTCAATCATCTCCACGTTTCATTTCTAAAATCCCATCCACGTATTTGCCCCCTCGCCTCGAAGAAACCCCTGTAACGCTCAATCGTCAGGTTAGGAATCTACTTTATTGGCATTCACCGGCAAGTGACACCCGCGTCGAGTGCATTCGCAGGGTGTACGTTAACCCCCTAAGTTCCGCGTTTCCGCGGTCGATCGGAAAATCCGAGTGAGTCCTCGAGGTGGGGAAGAAGTTCGCTTAATCGAGGGACGGTAGGGCTGCCGTCGCCGTTTCCGTTGTGCCGGGTCGGTCGGTGCGAGGGGAAACGGCCAATGGCGCGCGCACGTGGCCGGGCCCGTCGGGCGTCTCGTCCGCGGACGTGGACGCTCGGTCGCGTGGTCGCGCCTTCCCCAGGGCCGCGTGGGTTAATCGATGAATTTCAGCCACGGGGTAACAGGGCGGCCCGATGTAATCAGGCCGGTTAGTATCGCGCACACATGATACGGATAATGCGTTGACGACCGGCGCCGTCGCACATGCGCGGCCCGACGCCCCTCGGCCACCGATTTCGATTTTAGTCATTCCCGGGTCCGGGTTGGGGGAATCGTTCGCCGCGAGAACCGCACGGAAGCGCGCGCCGCGCACATCGGCACCGTGTTACGCGTCCCTCCTGCACGGTTCGCGCGCGCGAGGAGGCGTCCGGAGAGTCGACGGTGCCGGGAGGGAGAGTCCCGCCGCAGCCCAGGTCGGACCCGCCGCCCGACGAGAACGACGTCCAGGTGCGCCGGTGTTGCCGGTGCTCACGACTACTGACTTCGGTTCGTTCGAAACGCGCAGTTTGTCCGCTCAAGCCGGAGCGGAGACGCCGCCAGCGGGAGAGCGCCCGGAGAGAGCGAGAGAGAGAGAGAGAGACGCGACGTGCCTCGCGCGCGCGACCCGTGAACACCCGTCAACGGCGACTCCCGCGAGCGAGCACCCTCCCCCGGCTCGGATCCGGGGAGGAGCACGCGCGTCTTCTATAACCTCGCTTTCCGCGGCCATTTCTGCTCGAGACCACGCCGCCGGGGTTGCCGTGCTCTCGGAGCGAGAGTATTCGATCCTTCGGCCGTGTATCGAGCGTGGGACGTTCGTTCGAGCACTTTTCGTATTTTCACGGAATCGGGTACTCCGAGTTTTTGAGGTTTCATTGGAAACTTCGAGTTTTTCAGGTTTTTTTTTTTTTTCGTAAAGCTGTTATGGGGGAGGAGTATACGTTCGGGCGGGCTGGAAACAAGAGTAAACCGGGATTGCGTTGGGTGGCGTGAATGGCATTTGAATAATTGCGCGAACTAGTCGATATATCGAAGCGACGCGAGTGACCGGACTCGATCCGCCATCTTTAATGTGGGGACCGGGGTTGGCTGTGAAAAGTGGTTGGACGTATATTCCACGGGAATGATGTGTACGTTATTCTTCACCTTTTCATGAAACTTGTATTTTAGAGGGAAAAGACCCGGTCGACGCGGACTACCTCGAAACTTCGATATATCGATAACCGTTAACCGCCTCGATGCTCGAAATCAAACGTCCCTTTTTACAATGCTTCTCTCCGGGGCTATGTTTAACCTAAATTCATTGTCCAACGCTCGATTATTGAGAACAAAGAACCGCGAAACGATTAATACGCGTATTTAGGAAAATCGTGCAACCCTCCGTCATACCCACGAGTAGAACCAGGGTAACCTAACTTAAATCGAAAAATGACTCCTTGATTGATCTAAATCGAAAGAGGAGCTCTTTTCTCCCTCTCTCTCTCTCCCTATGCAATATGGTCACATTCTGTGTAACGGTTGTCTTTTTAGACAAAAAATCCTCTTCGCTCTTCTCTTTGCTATCTTCGGAGGAATATGGAGGGAATAGTTTCGCGAGGTCCTTAGATTCTATGCCTCGGAAAAAAAGTCACCCGTGTAGACCCGCACGTATACGTTTAAAGCGTTCGATCGCGCCTGCGAATCGGGTCTCGAAAACCGGCCTAGGAGAGAGAGGGAGAGAAAAGGGACGATGGTCAGTGGACAGGAGGGTGAGGGAGCGAGACTCGCAGCGTCGTTTCGACCGGCCTAAGCTTCGGAGCTCGGCAAGGTTCGCGACTCGGCAAGTGTGCGCGCGCGCCAGGGTTGTTAGGTATACGTCATGTAATATACGTAGTTTTCTCCGCGAGCGCGAAATATATTACGCCCTTCTATTTCGAAATAGAAAATAATAAATCCAGGGAGAGATTTCATATTAAACGGTGTTTAAAGTGTAAAACACATTTTTAACCTAGCGTATGCCGTATATCGTATGCTTGCGGCATCCGCTATATTGGAAACATAATTTACTGATTTTCTACGGTAAACTACTTAATTTACGTGATATATGTATAAAATCTGAGAAAAAAAAAACGCGAAATTACCCAACCCTGGCGCGCGCCAAGTGGATAACGGCACGCGGCCGCGAGACATCGTGGGTTAGGTGCGCGAACCGCGGCAATCTTTAGTCCGTGCGCCCCCGCGAGCGTCCGATTGGCCGCTTCCGTTAGACCGGTTCACCGACGGCCAATGATCGACGCGGCTCCAGGGGAAATCGCCAATTGACGCCGGCCGGGCGGGCGAGCGCGCCGGATCGACTCGCGAGAGAGAATATCGCGTTCGCGCCAACTCGCGGGAGATTATCGGTGGCTTTTTATAGCCCGGTACGCGCGATAATAATAGTCGGAATATTTCGGCCGGGAAGTACGACCACGCGGCCGCGCCGGCCAGCCGACGAGACCGCCGCCATCTTTGTTTTCATTAATGCAGGAAACCCGCGCGAGGAGAGTACGTCGACCGGATGTGGATGCGCGGCTCTCGCGGGTTAAATCCGGCGTCGAGATCTTTTGCTCCCTTTCATTTTATCGGGGGAAAGTGGTCGCAGGGTTCGATCTGCCCGTGATCGATTATCCTTCGCGCGCTCGAAGTTTCCATTGTCGCCCTTTTGGGCGGGATACCACCGATGTCCAAAATCCGCGAAAATCTTGACCATCTCGCATCTATTCTGCGATTAATCGTCACTCCTTGAAACGTAGCGATGTAGTGCGTGAAACTTTGGAAAGCGTTTTTAGTTTCGTTGCTGGTTTTCCGTTGTACCAATGAAGTTTTCATCGGGGTCGGGGGAAGATGCTGGGGCGCCCTCGATCTTGCCTCTCTCTCGCTCCCGCGCTTCCTTCGGTCGGCCTCTCTCGCTCGCTGTCGGGCGTCTCGGGATGCCGCGGGAAATCGGTAGACGCGACCGCCTGCCCGACCCACCCTCCGCTAGGTGGCGCTCGGCCTCGGCTCGGCCAATCGCTATCGACTCTCTTACTCCGCGTATCGATTTATTCTTTCCATGGCACTCCGAGCCAAGGCCATTTCCTTCGCCTCCGCGACACGCCGCTATGCGTGCCTTCCCTCCTTCTCTCCTGGTCACCCTCGACGGATTGCGCAATGGCGGCAGTTCTCGCTTTACGAATTTTATCCGAAACCTTTTTACTCGAAATCGGCGGGCTTTACGAATCGGTTTGCACAGTCTTATCGCAAAGAGTTGTCGTTACATGTGTGGTTACCTTTTTAAAGGGTTCTTCGCTTTTTTTTTTTCGCTGTCTCTTTATCGCGCATGCTGACTCGCATCTCGCTATCGCACGTCGCGTTCGGAATAATTCCAAACCTTTTGTCATTGTACCATTTATTTATACGAAAGTCTGATAAACACCTTTGCAAGACGTTCGCAGGAATCGACGGAGGAATTAGCGCAAAGAGGTTTTTTTTTTTCCTTTCTGCAATCGCATTTACACGATTAGAATGCTTGTTGAATATCGTTAATAAAGTTGCATGGAATTATCTGTTATAACTAGGGTTTCGATTGTGAGTGTCTCTATTTTCTTTTTTATCTGTGCCGTTTATATCGCCACTTGAACTTTCAAGAGTATTCACCACGTTCCATTTTTTATTATAACTATGAAACGTTTAATCGATATCGCATTACGGAATATCTTAGTGCTCGCGCATTCTATCTTATTTCTCCGGATCTGCAAGAATTAATAAATCGTCACGGAGGTTAAAATTAAGCCGTTGAATAATTGGTCCAGAATTTTTTATCGATCGTTTGCGAGTCACTTAAACGTAGATCAACTTTTTTTTTTTTTGTAAGATGATACTCGTAGAGATAAAAGTTGGAACCCTAGTCGTAGCTTTAGTTTCAGAATGCTCCACTGTGTTATCCGATGTGTTTTATTTCTCCTCCCCCTTTCGGTGCCGATAAATATTGTAATGTATTACACTTTGTACACGCTTCTCCTAAGTATATCGTATATTAGTCTTCTAGAAGCTAAGGTACTAGATAACAAAATCTATTATACTCGTCCTATCGTTACATTCGGTGTCGGAATATTTATGGTGAGGGAGGAAGGAATTATCTGTTTATTTAAATTATTCCCCGATTTAAATGAACCATTTTTAATCCTTATCCTAAGGCTCAATTTACACCGATTACTCGGTACGCTGACTAATGCCGTGGTTTTATTAAACCGTCGATGTATACAGTGGTAAATCCAAGACGAGACGATACCGACTTTTCAAGCGTACCGTATCAAGACGAAAATGATCGTTTACACCGACGACTTGATAAATCCAAGCCATTGGTAAGCGTGGTCGGTGTAAACTATGCCTATGCCGCAACGGAGGCGCGAAAGCTCTCGTTCCGTCGTCACGTTTCCGAGCTTTGCATGCAGTCTTGGCCGTTTAAAAAAAGGGAAAAAGAAAAACCCAGAGGAAAGAGTGTCGCAGCTTAAAGAGGAGCTCGCCTTTCCGCCCTCCTTATCGATCCAGCGCGAAGAAAACGCCGAAATAGAACGGTGCATTTCCCAGAAGGACCCGCGTCATGGAAACGCTATTAAGCCTCCGCGTTTTGGGGCCCGATTTAAATCCTCTCTGCTGGATTCTTAAAATTCTACTAGTTCATTAATGTTATAAATTTTACCCGAGCTTTAATTTCCGCGCGAAATACCCTTTCGGCCGTTTCGCCCCCTCGTGTCGCTGAATAGACGTCTCCTACGAGGTTGAAATCTTTCATGAAACCCTCCCACTGGAGGAAGAAACGTCCAGGAGTGGAGGGTCGGATAAATAATGCAACGACGTGTAACAAGTTGCATAAGTTACACGGGGTGCCTTGCACTTTCCCGTCGCGGCTAAGTGGTGCACTCGCGAATGCAACTTCAGGGATCCGCGATTAAAATGAAACGCGAGCTTCCCTTTAATGCTTTCCACGAAGACTCGACGCTAACTCCATACACGGCTCGGGGAAAAAAAAAAATCGCAACACCTGAAAATAAAGTTGGGAGCTACGATCGTTTAGGATAACGTAGAACGGAAGGGTTTAAATTCCAGTTCAATCGGAGTATTAGAATAAAAATAATTCCTGTTTTCCCTACACCTAACCGTGCATGTGTTTATCCAATATGCACTATTTTTATTTTCTAATCTTGCAATGTTTTTTTACGCTTTACGGGCAATGTGACGAATCGATATTATTTTGTCCACGCGTCGATCGAATCGTGGAGCAGATTTATGGAATTCCCCGTCCTGCCTATTAATATCCAACTTCCTAAATCCGGTCTGCAGACTTTTGAATATTGCCGCCAAATCGCAAACCAATGGCCGAGCGCTCCTCGTGGCGGAGCGGGAAAGCGTCGAGATTACGGAAAAATAAAATTAAATCTACTAAGGCGATAATTGGATTCCTTCCGAAATGCAGTTGATTATTTGTCTTTTTTCTATCTCGACTTCGGTCGAATACACACCTTATCCGTCGGAGTTGAGCTACCTTTTTACTTGCCTCCCTGCTGCGTCGCGTAAACTCTCGATCTGTCATCGAAAATCGATCACAGATAATGGTCATACAAGTTATCGATATGAATACAAAATAGAACTGTATATTTATTTATTCATTACAAAAACATATTCGTTTTCTCCGTTCTCGCAAAAAAGAAATAGTCGAATTCGATCGAACTTTTTGCAGCAGCTGTTCAGATGTCGCGGTGAAATCGCCTGGCTTTGATTCGATACGATAAACGATTTATGATTTCCAGCCGATCCTCCGCAAGTAAAGAGTTAGCTCGACCCGGCTCGATTCCCGTCGTGAAATTTGCATTCGCGCGCGTCGCCTGAGGAGGTCGTTCTTTTCCACGTAGACGGCAGGTCGCAGCTCGGGACGCGGTGCCGGGGCTACCGGGGCGAACGGTCGTCGTGGAGTCCGCTAAGCTGACGCCGCACAGGCACCGCGAGAGGAATCCCCGCGAGATTCCGCGCGAGGCGGCGGACGTGCTCGAGAGCGCGATGAAGCAGGAGCCGGAGGACGAGGAGGACTGCTTCCTGGAGGAGGGCCTGCCCTCCCCCTCGGCCGGCCACTCGGTCCGGGTGCGCTCCCACGCTCGCAGCCTCCGGGCTATGGCCAACCCCAGCGCCGTCTGGGCGCACTTCGACCTCTGCCCCAACGACCCGCTCCGCGCCCAGTGCCGCATCTGCGGCGCCGTCGTCGTCCGGGGCGGCGCCAACCCCCGACAGTGCGGCACCACCAACCTGCACAGGCACCTCAGGGTGCACCACGGCGGCAGGCTCATCGGCAGGCGGTACCACGGTAAAGAACCCACGAAGCCGACCGACCCCTGGCAAGACGCGAGGAGGGTCCTTACAAACTTTGTTACTCATTTCACGCCGACGTCTCTCATATGTGCGGTTTTGCTCAAATTACATTTATTACCTTGGATTTCTTCAGGAAGTTAAGACCGGGTTCAATTTCCCTTTTTTTAATCTTCATTTATTATGTCTGCTTGCAGTACTGCCGACCGCGGCGCAGGCGACCTCGAGCGGCAAGACGATAAGGATAGCCACGCAGTCCCTGGTGAGACCTCAGATGCGAAATATCGCCCCGGCGCCCGTCTCCCAGCAACAGCAACAACAACTTCAGCCAAAGACTCTCGTATTGAAGACGATACCTCTCAAAGTGAAACAAGTTGCGCCAACGACCATTAAAATGCCGCCGCGACAGACCCCCCAGGGGTTGCCGCAAACGGTCTTGCCCCAACAGCCCACGGAGGTATTTCTTTTTCTTTTTTTTTTTTTTTTCATTCAATTTAACCCTGCTGCTCCGACATGTTTTAAATGCAATGAATGTAGGAATTTACCCTGAGCATTTATTTTCTACGCGAAATTAATTGCGACGATCTAAATGTTTCTCGCTGAAGAATTATCTCCGGGAAAATCGATTCCGCAAGAATTATCGGTTTTGCAACCCAAGTGATGGCAAATTGACGTCGGGGCGCGTTCATACATGGAAAGGGTAACGATAACGAGCTCGATTCGATATCCGACGCGAGAATTAATTTTTTTTCCTATGAATAAAAAATGTTTTACAGAGATTGCCCCCAGGTGCAATCTTCACAGAGTGGGCGGAGGTCTGACGGGGATTTATCTCTTGCAGGTGTGTCTCAGGTGGAACAGTTACCACAGCAACATGCAGAACAGCTTCCCCTCGTTGCTGGACTCGGAACAGTTCGTCGACGTGACGTTAGCCTGCGAGGGACGCTCGCTAAAGTGCCACAAGATGATCCTCTCCTCCTGCAGCGATTATCTCGCGGAGCTCCTCAGGGAAAACCCCTGTCAGCATCCGATCATTTTAATGAAAGACTTGAAATTCTGGGAAGTCGAGGCGTTAGTCAAATTCATGTACCGGGGAGAAGTCAACGTGGCGCACGATAAGTTGCCCCAGCTTCTGAACGCCGCCGAGGCGTTACAAGTCAAAGGACTGGCCGGGCCTAGCCCTTCTTCCCAGGTGGGACTTTTACTCGATCAATTAATTAGTTAATCGACTGCAAGATATTTAAACAAAGTCTGGAGTCGATCCCACGATCTTTTGTCTTTCGTGCGATGGGGTAAAAACGTTTTCTTTCCAGAACCCAAAGCCACCGATGCTCATTCCTCAGGCGAAGCCGCAAACGTCCCAGCCAGTGGTCCCCCGAGTCTTGACCGAAACCAAAGAAGTAAGACCCTCGGCATCCGCTGCCCCGGTGCCTTCTAGTCCTAAGCGAGCCCAGAAACGGCATCCGACCGAGCCCGCGGAATCGAGGCCCTTCACGAAGATCCGACTGCAGCGACCTCGCACGCCGACGTCCCCCAGCCCGGTGGTCAAGCTGGAGCCTCTGGACATCCCCCTGAGCCCCACGGAGATCTTCCCCGAGAACAACGAGGACAGCTCTAACCCTTCCAACTTCGACAACCTGATGAGCCTGCACGAAGACGACGACCCGGGGGGCGACGAGACTACCAACGCGGATGGGGATATAAACTTCTGCGAGATGCCCGGACCTCCCGATCTCCAGGACGGCGAGGACCAGATGGAATTCGTGCCCACCGATTTCTTGGAACAGGGACAGGACATTTTGGAAGAGGTCGAGGCTGAGCAGAGCAAAGGCGACAAGGACGACTCCGTCAAGGAGGTCTCCGACCAGGTCGTCGACGAGCTCGACGAAAAGGACGACGAAAGGGACGACGAGAAGCTCGAGGTCGTGCAAAACGACGACAAGAAGGACGAGCAGTCCTCCAAAGAGGACGGCGAACCCTTGTAATAGGAAGAGTATGGTCTTCTATCGTAAGACCCCAGTCATTGTTCGGTAAGGAATCGACGAGTCGGTCGTAAGTTTTATATTTCCTTATTTTTTTTTTCCTTTCCTTTCTCTTGCTAAGTCAAAGCAACATCGGTTGTGCCTGCACTGGGCGGAAGTCCTACCTCTGACTTGGTCCTGGAGGGTGATCACTCGGGTCGTGGTAATTTATTTTGAAAAATTCATCCGCGGATCCTTCAATTTTATCTTATCCTGATTTATCGAGGAAGGGTGTAATCGGAAATAAATTAGAATAAAAACGTGAGCGACGCGTACCGAAATTAGTTGGCCAAGTTAGAGGTGCCCTGAGGAAGAAAGATCCATTGAACCAAAGAAATAATTATATTAATTCAAGGAATAATTATTTGACTGGAATAAACTCAAGAAAAAAATTGTCGCAATTCCGACGAAATGTTGCGTTCAATTTATTCAATTTCAGTGAAATAATTATTCCTTGAATGAAGAAAATATTTCTCTGGCTCGATGAAATTTTTTTCTCAGGGGGAGACCGCTGCACAGGTCGGGTGTTAAAGTTATTAAGGAACTCGTGACAGTTAGTTTTAATATGATAGCGATGATACGTTTGTTAGAGAGACCTAGTAGAGTGTGTGTGACAATGATGATGCCAAGGGGCGAGATAACTTCCATCGATGGAAGGTAGCGTAATGTTATATACTGGATTCTTCTATTAAAAGTCGTCCTATCGTGATCTTGACCTTCGTGATTGTATATAATTAAGCCGGAACAGTTCAAATTTAGCGTTAGATTGTGCAGGACCGCGGTACGTTTTCCTTTCTCGTTGATTTCTCGGTTTTATTCTACGATACGTTCGCCGTTACACGTTTTACTTTCGAGCACGCATGCCTTAAACTTCGTTTCCTGGGATGATATACTGCGAGACATTACCACGGTACAATCAACGAATAGATGAAGTATTTTCTCAGAATGTCGAACCGACTCTCGTATGACAGTTTTCAAGTTTTAAGGCGATGCGAAAGTGGCCTCGTTTATGAAACTTTTCCCCGAACCGGGTGTACCGAATCGTATGAAATTTTACGGCATCAAAGTGGAGGCTACAAGAAAGGTCTTGACCATGACCCATGAAATGTCAATTTTCTTTCAATTTGTTTAGACCTTTTAAATTTTTTATAAAAAAAAAATTAAATGTCGGGACCTTCCTTCTACCCTCCATGTTCATGATGTAAAATTTAAAACTATTCGGTGCACTCGGTTTGGAGAAAAGTTTCATGAACGATTTACTCCTCGGATGCCACTTTCACATCCCCTTAAACACGCGTCCTCCGCTAGTGACGACTCGCGTTACGTTGCGAACCGCGTTTTTTAAACCGAGTACAAGCAACTCCCGTCTAAGTCGACTCTCGTTGTAATTGTGTAAAGAAAAAAAAAAAGTGGTACAGCTTGTCGCTAGGAGATATTTTTACCGTCTTAAGGAGAGGCGTTTACGGAGGCATTTAAACGAATTAAACGGAAAAAAACGGTTAATTGTATTTAACTCTCTCGATACTCTCAGCTTGTGAAATTTAAACTAAAGCAGGACCCCTCTGCCGATTTCCAAATAATGAAAGAGTATATCGTCGATGTTCACCGACCGAAACATTTCCGAGGAAACGTCGAGAAAGAAATGTATCGCGGGTTTTGTTGTTCAAGATTTCACGCTTTGTTGTCAGGAAGCGTTAATCATTAACAGCAAAAACAACGATAATTTTCTGGACAACCTGATAATATCCCCGTATCTTGATATCGTTTAAACCGGTAAGTCCATTTACTTTTACGAAGTTATCCTGAATTTACGTTTGGTCTCTTTTTTTTTTTTTTAAAAAAAGACGCGGAAGAGTTTTAGACAAATTCATGAGTCTCGACTTTTCGCTGCGTCTCTTTACTCCAAACAAGTATAACTTATAAAAATTGGATGACTTGATCGGGAATTAAAATAAATTATAATAACATGAATTCATAACTTCGCAAATCGAATTTGTTGGACCTGGTGGCCGAAACGATACAAAGATACAAAAATGTGTCGGAAAATATTGGAGTTAATATCGACGTCTCGTGCGATCCGTTTATTGTAAGTGTGCAGGATATGCGCGGAACGTGTCGCCTTTATTTTGATTATCGTATTGGTAAAAGATCGATGCATTTATAAAGTTAGTCATTACACTCGTAATTACTGATAGTGGCCACGATACGAATTCGTGGGGAACGCGGAGCGTTTTCGAAACCCCGGAAGCGCCCTCAAAAAGGGAGAATGAGAGAGAGAGAGAGAGCCGGTACGTTGCCAGGTTTTATATTCTATAAAAATTTAAACACTAGGTACCCTTGGAACCTCTAGTATAAGGAGTAACTTAATTTCACACTTCGAGACTCTTTCGTGCTCCCAGAGGCCCCTCGGATTAGCGCGACCGAGTAGCAAAGGGCCTCCTCGCTGCACAGGAACCGTGTGTCTACGGAATACGTATTTCTAGAGATTCTGGTATGTGCTCTCGTGGCGGAGTTCCGTAAATCTGGAAAGTATGTATATGTACATTATATTATGTGAAACAGGATGTCTTATAAATAAATAGCTATTACGACGCAGCTTCGATTACCGTGTCAAGGGACGCCCGCGGACTAACGTGGCCGATGTCCCACTTCGGGCTACTATAACTGGATCAACGCTGGATTTACGCGTTAAACAACTGGACCGAGTTAAGATCCACCTCGGTGAAAATAAGGGACTAAAAATCGACGATTACCCGTGAGTGGAAAAAATACCCGCGGATACGTACTCTTACCGTTTACGAGTCATTTAAAAATCGTCGTCCATGATAGTCCGATATTTTCTCATAAAATCAACGCAGTGGTCATCGACAATTTTCCTGTAATATTTCGCCATTATATAGTCAAGTACACCTCGTACAACCTGTTCTTAAGTCATAAAAATCAGGTCCAAATCAAATGCATTAATTACTCGAACCTCATTCACGTATGAATTAATGTAGGAAGCACTTACCGGAAACACCCTCTATCGATCGACACGTATGTGCATGAATTTAGCGCGAAGCTCTACCGACTTCCTCGATCGGTGAATTCCAATTAATCGTTGCATCGAATTGCAAAATTAATTTTCACTGTCTAAAGATCGCGATCGAATAATATAGCCTTCGGACACGAGGATTGATCGAAACTCATTCACCCAGGTATCATTTATTCGGGAGGCGCAGCCGGAAACATCCTCCATCGATCGATAAAGATATTAAAGTAATTGGGGCCGGAAAGCCAGACAGATGGACCATCCTGTCCATACATATAGCGATCCCAGGAAACTAGGTTGCATCGCGCTTGCATCAATCGTAACGGGCGGCTGTGATTGGTCGAGCCGGCGAGCCCCCACCCCGCCAGCCAATGGCAAGCCGTATTGATTAATCCTTCGCGATCGAGGGGAATGCCGGGGGACGCCGGACGCCCCCGCCGCCGCAAGCGCTCGGACTCCCCGGCAGATGGCGCATCGGTCGCCGCACCCCTCTGCTGAACTGTCAAATCGTGAAAGGTTGTTTGTATACGAAATTTTTATCGGTGCTCAGTGCTTTACCGGTCGTTCCTGTTGGATTAATATCGCCAGGTTTGTACGAACTAAGGCCCGCGCCGATCGGCGACCGTTTCCGCGAACGAGATAACCTGCACGGCGGTCGCTTCGCTTTGAAGCGGCCGGCGCCGCTACTTTGGACCTGTCATTTTTCGAGATCTTTTTAATGTTTTCAGATGTTTTCTGCATCTTGCCGCTCTCAAAATCGCTCGATCTATTCCATTTTCGATACGACCGACCGATCGCACGCTACTCGCGAGTCGAGGCTTTGTGGGAATTCTGGCTCGCGAATGTGTCGAACGGTGCTATTTTTGGTTTTGTTTTTCTTAACCTCACTGGAGGATCAATGACTGGATGATGATTCTCTTTGAATTTTTTAACGCTCCGTGGGCCAAACGGTACTGCTCGTAGCTTTGATTTGTATTCCTGAGAGATGCGAAGCATGTGGGGTTGGTTCGTGGACACCTTCCATGGGATCGAGATCCTTCGCTACTGGTTTCGATGCCACTTTTCTTGCTCAGGGGTTTCATGTGCATTTTAATTTAAAATACAGACTATGACGGTTTTGTTGTCAAGCAGGATGATTTGTCACATAGCTGTTTGTTAATACTTAGTAGTGGTCTAAGTTAAATGTCATCTAATTCAAGTTTCGGAATGGCATTATTAATTCATGAAGCCAATTTATAGTGTTTGCTCAAATATATTTAAATATTATAAAAGGAATGGAACTAACACGTATAGTGATGCTTTGTAACGTGTGTTTCCATATAGTAGATTGGTTGAACTAGTTTTTACTTTCTCGTAACAATCAACTATTGCTCCTTTCAGGATGAATCGTACCATGGACGAGAAGGAAGAACTGGTGAAAAAGTCACTGTTTAGCTTTGTGAGAAAACAAGTTCCAACTGCACAATTAAGGTATGGAACGAATTGGTATCGCAATTAAAGTTATTGTAATACTTTAAAGTAATAATTAAATTATATCCACAGCTTAATAGATGACATCGTTCTTAGCTACGTAGTAAGCATGGTCGAAGAGAGTGCCATGGAGGAAGAACTAGATGTCGATGGATTATGCGAAATGGTATCCGCCTGCCTTCCTGAATTCTCTACTATTGAAAAGGATGCGGTGTCGAAGTGGTTGCTCGACATAGAAAGCAAACTACGTCAAGGGAGTAAAGAAAGTGAAAACGGTCAGCCCCATGACCCATTGAGTCACATAAGTTTAACGGCGCTGTTACCACCCGATGCCCAGAGGATACGGGTACACCATCTCTCAGAAACGAGTGATGCTGGAAGTGATTCTAGTGGAGAATACTTTTCAGAGGTATCTAATTAGTACCATAGAATCGATATTGAAATTAAAGCCAATTATCATTGACTAATGAAAAATTGAGAGTAAACGTTCTAATTGCACTTGTAGGCTCTGTATATAAATTTGTATTACTCTAGCAGCAGGAATCATCCTGGCATCAGGTAGCTCTTCTCCAAGAAATGTTTCCTGGAGCAAGCCCAGCCGAAGCACGACATTGCCTGGCAGTCGCCGGAGGAGATATCGCCGAAGCAGCTCAGCTCGCACTTCACAGGCAGGAAGCTGGGCAAAGTCTCGTCAGCAATCTCACGTTCCTTACAGTAAATATACCATGATTAAAATTCATCCACTCAAACTTTTGTCTATAGCGAAAGCTTAACCAAATATTCTCTTTTTATTACATTTATTAATTACAATTCTGCTTTAAAGTCTATTAGAGTCACCTTTTGTTATATTCTCTTTCTTGACATTTAATACGTTATAATGATCGTACAGCCCAGTGGTCGTAACAAAGCAAGAGTCAACGACGAAGAGCTGAAGTCACGCATAATAGCTCGATATAGTTACGTGGACAGGGATGACGACTCTCGAGAACACCGACCTGTTGCGCCGAAAACGGAACCGAAGAAATTGGTTCGCTATCTAGACAACAAGATCGTGAGTGTAAAAGGCGAACGATACACGGAAGTTCGAAGGGGCGGTGAAGAAGAGGACGGAAACGAGGGAGGGAGGAAGAGAGGACACTGTCGTCCGTAACCAGTCCCTCCGCCTCCACCCCCTGATCCACCCCCTTGGAGGCATCTGATTTCAAGTTAGAGAGGTTAACTTAGATTTCTTCCTTCTCGATTGAATTTACTCCAGAAAGTAGTGGACATCGGAGCACGCATTTAAACAGCCTCTCTCGCTTCGTTGCTTTAAGCGTAGGCCTCACTTCCAGGAAACCCTTTGTCTAGTGATTTAGAATGTTACTTTTTGTGATACAAACCCACAAAGAAAGGTTAATTTAAATCGAACCAACACCTTCGTAGCGAAGGGTGGTCCTTTCGATGGTACTCGAAATGTCTGCACATGTCCCGTGTCCATTACTTGATGCGTAAGTAAATGGGGTAACATCCTTTCGATCGAGCATGCCAATGGCCACAATGCATATGTTTTATATGCAAGCAATGGGTACAATACGCAGAGTCAGTGGGAATGATTTTCAATCGAAGAGCTGACGTGTGATGAGGACAGTGATTTTGTGGGACCGCTAGAAGACTCGCAGCTGCGAATATGCACTGTATGCGATCTCTTCGGAGCTGCGGAGAGGTGGGATCCTTAGGATTTTAAAATCCTTCAACTTTCATGACAATTATTAAGAATAATATAGTCTGAGGTGATGTCGCGGATTACCGACTATTATTGGCAGCATCGCTCCGTCGACGATAAGCATTTTTTTTTTTATCTAGCTAGCTACGATTGATTCGGAATTTAGAGCTGCACATTTTTCTTATATAACTATAAGGTGTACAAGTGCATGTAAGTAAGCTGGCTATTGTAAACTCGTCGGATTCTACTCGTTTATAGCAGACTTAAAAGTGTCGGTTTCATTCACCGTAGTCGGTTCAGTTGGCTTCTTTGCCATTGCTTATGGCACTTCCTAATTTAATTTAAGAACATATGAATGATCGCGTTCACTCGACGTTGTGGCACTGTCCTTCCTATTTTTTTTTTTTTTTCCCTTTGGTCAAAGTGCGAATTTCACCGAAAACGTTAACTGCAGCCTGTGAGAACTGAAAATATACAGGCTCATGTTTTCGCGTAAGTCGTAGAATTTCATTACCGCTGGTTTTTTCAGTACGAAAATAGAAATTATCTCGATCGCCTATAAGACTTGAATTTAAAAACGCAACACGCACCAAGTGCGTGGCGGGTAAAAAAGTGAATTTTAATTTTAATCGTGTGAATCGGGTGAATCATGTATTATGCAGTGATTATTAGATTAATTCGAGGATTAATTACTCTAATTGTCGTACTTCCATTTATGGATTAATTTGATCTACGATAAAAAGATTTTTTTACTTTATGTGTAATCTTACGAAACATTGGCATTACGAGCTGTTAAAGAAACGTGCAAACACTGATGGTTTATATACAAACAGTCGCTATTTTTCTCGCTTTTCTTGGTAGATCTTTTAATGGAAAGTATCTTGGATCAATTTTGAATAACGATAACCGATTAAATCCGTGACACGTGGAAGAAATCGAGGATTTAATAATTTTACAGCCAGTTCTAAGCCTCGATGTCGAGGAAATCGCAGATTGCTAATTTTTTGTGCGTACAGTGCTTTTTGGGTACGAAATTACCGGTACATAGTTATTGAGTAACAAAGTATAGTGTATGTATGTACACATTAGTTAGGCAACAAATTACGTATCGTAATATTTAGGCGGAACGAAATTTGCTTACCACGCCATATGATTTACCAGTATTACTACCGTTATCGCTATTAATTATTACAGACTTTAAAGTAAGGATAAATTTACGATCACTATATCGTGTAAAACGTAATAGACGGTAGCCAATTGACACTCATTTGAATAGGATACGGTTAAACTAAGAGTCACGATAAAGTTATAAACTAACGTCACCATACTACGCTGATACAGAAAACTACAACTTTATCTGATACATTGACTGAAACATATAGATGAATTTATTTTTTTTTATTTTTTTTTTCACTATCGACATCCCGGTGAAGCACTTTCTTCTTTTTTATCCCTTTTTTTTTCTCACAAATATTTCATTAGATTAAGGTATGCCATGCATCACGGTAGGAAATGAATTTCGAAATGGAGAATCTTAAAGTCAAGTAACGAAAGTAACATTCTGAGAAACAAGTACGAGGGAAATAAGAAGAGAATACTTTTGTATCTGACAAGAATTGTTTCCCTGCATTTTTTAAAAAGACTTTTAAAACTTATTAGAACAGACTTAACTTGTCGCATTACTGACAATGGATAAAATGAATTAACGAGGTCAATACCTTTGTCGATACTTTCATGCTGTGTCTATAATTTTGCTGTGACAGTTGAATTTCAATTCCTAGGTGAATGTTTTTAGTTAGATCTAAATGTCAATTATGCATTATCAAGCTTTCGTTATCATCTCCATAAATACGTTTCGAAGATATTTTACCAACCCATATTTTACCCTTCCATAAGAAATTTGAAGTTATCGGGTGGGAAAATATTAAACGTTAATCATAAACATGTAATTTGGTACAGTGCTTTTTGATATGTATTTCAAATGCCATTCTGAGTGAGTAGATTTATTTTGATAGATTTATCACAAATTGTTATTTGTTGATGAACGATGTCTTAAGAGGGACTTTTTACGATATACGATCTTTACATGTTTACGATAAGCATTTAATATATTTTATTTGTACCACTTAGCGATTATTAAACATGCTGCAATGGAACACATTAGTCTTTATAATGTATGTCTTGCGAAATCTCATTTTCTGAGATTTTATGTAGTTCACAGTGATATATCGATAGTTTTATTACGTGAGCCAGTGGGCCGGCCCTTGCCATAGTTAACAAATTATTAACTGTATAAAAATAAGGAGTGTGAATATTATGCAGATATTCCACTGAACTATATTCGCAGTAAACTGGAGATATATTCGATCGTTTGTAACAAATTCTGGTAAAGATACGTTTTGACAGTGAATGATCTGCTGATTAATCTTTTTTTTTTTTAAGTGTACAAGTTCCTCGATGTGTGATATGTTTTTCACGTTTGTTTTACTTATGATATGTACTATTGATAAAAGCATGCATCACGTGTTAAAAAATTATAAAGAAGGGTTGCAGAATTCAATTTTTTTTTTTTAAGTCATTTGTTCATTTTTAATGCACTCTCTCTCCGTGTCATTGATTATGTTTATACAAATATTGACAATGTCGTTGAATCGACAAACGTGCAATATTTCTTTGTCTTTTCTTTTTTTTTTTTTAAATGGAAAATAGAATATATACAATTCTGTGTAAAATCATGTTTATTCCATTTCATTGAGAAAAACAGAAACACCGAATACTACAGTTTGCAGCGAAGATTATTAAATTCCACGCTGTTAGTTACTGCGTGTAATTCATGTGGTGATTTATTGTATTTAATTAAGTCACAGATACCATAAGTCATAGTCGTTAGTCAACATTGTTATCCTAGCGGTAGTTATTACATACTCGTACATTTAAAGTCTTGTCGATTGCTAGACATGTAATTTTCATTTAAATTATTACAAAGAAACAAATCGTATTATCATTTCGCCCCATACTGTTCAGTCGTTCTTTTAATTTCACAAACTTGACGAGTGCACATCGGACAGATATTCAATCATAACACATCTTTATGGGAAAAGTACTAATTTGGCTAATAATAAAAGAACCGTCAAGTATGTATCTAAAGTTCGGAGTGTTCCGTGATATTTCAAATTATCGAAATTATTAATCCAAATACGTTCAAGCGATCGTTGTATAAAATATTTGTTCCGCTACCTTGTAAGCTTTAACAAGTACATTATCCGGTGAATTAATCTTATTTAGATTTAGATCACTTATTGTTAAACGTTTGTTCACGTGGCGTTCCTCACTTTGATATTCATATGTACCGTTACTGCATTTTTCTTCACTGACTTAACTTATAATCATGTTAAACTGTCACTCTTCCTTTTCTACGCAATTATACTCACGGCAATTTATTATAAACTGATAGAACGTTAAACTGTGTTCACGAGCAGAGCATGAGATAGTAATTGCAATTTCGTTCGTTTATTCACGATAACTTCCAATAAAGTGTACAGATTAGGATGCACCACCTCGATGCGTAGAATAAGAACTGAATGCAAATTGTATAATAAGGAAGAACTGTTTAAAACTCTGCAAACCTCTGTTGGCTAAGTTCCGTGCGTGTTAAACTTCGGCGAGGGTATTGTAAAAAGCTTGTAAAAAGCAACGCTGCCTCTTGAATATCGCTTAGAGTTCATATTTTGCAGCCACTCGAGAAGCCTCTCATTGGCGTATCATTTTGTGCATTGTAACTAACCTCTAATTTACAAAGGACAACACGTGGAAAAAAAATTGTCCTCATTTGTATTACATGGTTCCGATGGAACTATGTTTAGTGCCACATTAAGATCGACAATTGTTGAAAATCACAGTGCAAAGGGTGTTTTTTTACGTAGCAAACACTGGCTGTTGATAATCCATCGTTGATTTGTTACCTTGTCTTCACATTCTGCGATTACGTCATGACGTTAATATCTTCAAAAGCTCGATTGCATTTATTAACACTATGCATAGTTTCTTCGATATCTATCTTACGTCCAAGTAGTCGACAGTAGATGTTAGTTTATTTGGTGATTATTAATCAGCACTGCCTTGTAAAGGTGAAATTATTTGCTTAAACCTTTTAAAGCGTGTGTGACATTTGAAGAATTGTATGTAAGGATTCTTCTAATCTAAGTAGCAATGTGAAGTCCTCGGAAACTGATACTTCTGAGTGATACAGGCTTATTTATCCTTCTCTGACTGGCTACGTCAATTTTACTTGGCACGCAGCCTCTGATTATTTATATTGAGCTTTTTTTTACATATATGTATTTTTATTTATAGAGCACTCGTAATGTCGGAAGCTCGTTAAGAACGTTTGCAGCACTGAAAGGTAAAGCTGTACAGGAACAGCGAGGATTTTTACGAGTTCAGTTTTTCCATTGTCGCGTAGTTGTTGGTAATTAATCGTAAATTACCACTAGTATCTTAAGAGATGTGACCTTAAGAACAGCGTCTCGTTATATTTTTATTTCTCCTCAGTCGGAACCAACGCTTCCGAGTTTCGATGAATGTAGCGTTAAATAAATCGATGAAAACCGTCCTTTGCCTTTTCTTCAATTTTTTGGAAATAGAGTGACATAGACCTTATTTTTTTAAATATTAACTTCTCGGTTAGACCCTATTTTTCACCATGCAATATTACAAACTATTGGATAACATCTTAGGTAACTTGTCATGTAGGCTCGATAAATAAAGAGAGCAAGGGACTCGTATCATCAAACTATTATGCATTCACATTTATTCATGATCTCGTGGCGATGGAACGATCGGTAATATTACAAGGATTTATCGGCGTTATTAAATTAATGTCGGAGAGAAATAAAGATAGTCGATGGAATAGACGACCTATGATATTAAGAATACATAATAGGAAAGGAATCGATCTCTAGATGTTTACTTCTTCTTTTTCCTCGGTTTGTCTTGTGGCGCAGGTAGGTTCTCTTGCTTTCTCTTTGATGCTGGCTTCACTCCGATCGAACCACCTTTCTTTCGTCTCTCTTGTCTCTCCCTTTCTTCCAGCTCTTGATTTTCTCGTTCTATCAGAGTGATCAATGTATTACACCTCCTCTGCAATTCCAGAGCAGTTCGTGACTTGACAAACCAATCGAACCGAAACTGTGGAGCAGAGCGTACCGTTGCTCTTAATTCTTCGTACACATTCTCTTTGTCGAAGCCCAGTTTGTGCAGCATGCACACCAAAAACCTATCTTCTTCTTCGGTGTAGTTCTTTCCTTTATTCGTACCGTAAGCTATCCTAAGTTGATGAAACGGTGCCCTATATCTGGCCATCTTTGCATCGAGAGCTTTCTTGATTCCAGCTCGCCTCTGGATTTTAGCTTCTCCACGTTCAATCTGAGCCATTACTCTATCAATATCCTGGAGTTCATGACAACGTTCCCAGAACACTGCCGAATACTCCATCACCTCTTCGGGTGTCTTACCTTCCACGTCCTTCGCAATGTTTTCTATATCGTCGCGGCCATATTTCTCATTGGCTTTTATGAACTGATTGAAATCCCGTTTCGTCCAATTAGTAAAGCCCTGAGTAAGCAGCTTTTCCTTCTCCGCGATCTCCTCGTCGGTCAATGGCTGAGCATCGTCTATCTTCCTCTGTTCCTCCTTTTGAATCCTTGCTGCATCCGATCCCAGCTCTGGATTCTTCGGAACCTTGTAACCAACTGTCTGCCTGAAATAATAGATTTCCTGATCGAGTAGCTCGAATAACCGCGGAGGGAAGAATTGGAAATCTTGAACAATGGGTTGCTTCGGTGGTCGTGGTGCCTTCGGTGCCTTGGGCTCCGAAACCCTCAATGCTTCTCTGAAGTATGCATCGACAGCATAGTTGGCTTTCCTCTCTCGCTTTGGTGGCTCTATCCAATTCCCCAGTCCTAAGATCTTCTGCTTTTCTCTATAATCTTCCCCTTCGAACTGATACACCGAATCTGTCGGAGCATCCACTGTAAAATTCCTTAACGAGGACTCTCCTAAACTCTCCAGTTTCTGCTTCATCTCCTCTGTTTTTGCCTCTCCTTTTTGCAAGATAGTGTCAATGTCTTCATCTGTTATGGCGCTATCTTTAGAGGCGAACACCTCGTTCGCTCCGTGCCTGATCATGTTCAACATCTCGTCTTTGTTCAGGGCTGTCTGTTTTGCATCCACTAATCTTCCTTGCTGAATTACCAATTTATCCAAACGAAGCTTTACTTCTGCTCGTTCGACGATTTTCTCTTCTACGGTGTTCTCTGTGATGAACCTGAACACACGAACTTGTTTTTGTTGACCGATTCGATGGGCTCGATCCATGGCTTGCAAGTCCATTTGTGGATTCCAATCGGAATCGTAGATTATAACTACATCTGCAGTTGCGAGATTAATTCCAAGACCGCCTGCACGAGTCGAAAGCATGAAAATGAATTTTTCACTGCCCGGAGCATTGTATTCGTTGATTTGACGTTGACGATCCTCATGAGCTGTGTTGCCATCCAATCGACAATACTGGAAGGCCCTCCAATGGCAATAATCTTCTAAAATGTCCAACATTCTAGTCATCTGACTGAAAATCAGTACTCGCGACTCCTGCTGTTGAAGTTTCGGCAATAATTTGTCCAGAATCACCATTTTACCGCAATTGTACACTAAATGTTCATCGGTTGTGTACGGAGGACCAGGCTCGGCGCCATCGAACAGGTACGGATGGTTGCAACATTTGCGCAGCTGCATCAAAATGTTTTGGAGCCTCATTTTTTCAATTTTTCCAGCCCCGTTCACTATATCGATGTCCTTCATTAACACTTTCGTGTACCACTCTCTTTGCATTTTACTCAGACCTATGTAAACCTTAATTTCCTTCTTCGGCTTGAGACCTTTCTCTACTTCGGACTTTAAACGTCTGAGGAGGAATGGTCTAAGAACGGCATGCAATCTCTCCACAAGAGAATTGTCACCTAAAAAACTGTTTGTATTAAACCATGAATCGAAATCATCCGAACTGTTAAACACATCAGGGAGGAGGAAATTCAACAGAGACCACAACTCGTGGAGGTTATTCTGCAACGGAGTACCGGTCAACAGCAACCTATTTGCTGTTTTGAACTCCCTTAGAATTTCCGAGAGCTTCGATTTCTCATTTTTTATCCTGTGGGCTTCGTCGATTACCATGTAACGCCAGTTGAACTTCTTAAATACGGATTTCTCTTTAATGACCATTTCATAGGAAGTGACGCAGACATCCCACTCTCCCGGCATCATGACATCTCGAATGAAGGTATTCCTAGTCTCGGCATCCCCGATGAGACACACCGCTCGCAAACTGGGACACCACTTTTTAAACTCATTCATCCAATTAGCAAGTGTAGACTTTGGCACGATAACGATATGCGGCCCAGGAATGCTTCGAAAGTGCTTCATATAACCTAAAAGCGATATCGTCTGCAACGTTTTGCCGAGACCCATCTCGTCGGCCAAGATACCGTTGATTCCATTCTCATACAACGATATCATCCAATTCAAGCCTCGGATTTGGTAATCCCGGAGTTCACCGGACTTTATGTAATGAGGGGAGGATTCGAATCGAGTTGTCGGAGCAACGCTGGCATTGCTTTCTGCAAGCAATTCTTCATCTTCTTCCTGCTCGGTCTTACGATGCCTGTGATCAACAGTGTCTGCCTTAACTGGGGCCTCGGCAGGTTGCTTCCTGGGCCTGCCAGCCTTGATTTTCAACGGACTACCAGCTTTGTCCTTTTGGTTGTTAGTCATGAAATGGGAGAAGATTTCCGTTTGTTTGAGCAAATAGTCGAACCTTTTGCTGCGGTCCGTCTCGAGCTTCGTCTCGAAGTCTCCTCCTCGACTCGACGTGGTCTCCGCCGAAGACCCATTCGAATTGTCTCCCGTGTCCCCGGTGTCGACATTCTCGTCGCCCTTCGACATCTCGGGCGTTCCTCGCGGCCTTGTGAATTTCTGCCGAAAGGATTATTCTCTTATTTTTGCGCCCAACGTGCGTCCCCTCGTGCGACCATGCACCATGTATTCTCCCGAGCTGACACCCGACGCTCAAAATCGTTCACGATTCGTACCGGCAAGCTGATATACAACCAAGCAAAACATCACTCGCCGCCATCTTGAGGCGAAATCCCTCCAAAATTCATTGTCCTAGATTATCCTTTAACGATGGCTGCGAGGGACTTTCTTCAACGGGTACGACCCTTTTGAAGAAATGTTGCAGTAACGACCAACTTCGGTTTCTAGATGTAACAATAAGGAAATCGGCGAGCGCAAGACCTAGCGATTAAGTTCTACATTCAAACAGAGATGAGTCGGGAGAATGCTCATGACAGATTACAGTTGAAAAATGCGAACTGCAGCGGTTGATGTTGGTACTTCTAGGGTCACGTGGTATCGTGCTTCCTGCTTCCGCCATTTTGAAACTTAATTCAAATCTAGAGCAATTTGGGAACTGAAAACGAGTACCGATAAAATTAATTTTTAAATGTTCCGCTTAAAGCCATTAGTTTGGATTTGGCAATTAAACGCGTTTAGTTAATTACTCCCTCGATCAATTACAATCTTCACGAATCCCTTTCGACTGTGACTTCCAAAATATTCTCAAAGGGTACGCATTCATTTTTATCACTACTATCAAATTGTATGTGGTAAAATATTATTTCGTTAAAAAATTTATCTCTATAGATATCCTTGTGTAAAATCTTCGGAATACTCCCCAGGTACACGATTATTTATGGTTATCTTAATTCGTAACTAGTGTTAAGATGTGGGAGAAGTTAGAATTTTATTATATAGAGTTTTAATTTCAGATTAAAATTAAGGAAATACCGAATGCACTGGTCGTGGCAGACGGATGGTCATAATTTTAATTCGGTGACATTTGACCCCATCTATAATGACGTCTCGTCGATATGGTTTCCTAGGTAACCCGGTGTTACCTACGATGACAACAAGTCTCGGCTAGGTACCTGCATTGTTGCACTCTGCTTCTACCGCCGATTGCTCTCTACGTTCAAACGTTTCTTTTCAACCTCTATTTATAGACTTAAGATCTTCTAATTGAGGCCGTCTTGCCCGAATCCACGAATCGTTGAAATACATTTCTAACGGGCAACGCTATGTCATTGGTCGAGCCTCTGTATTGTAATCAACAAATTAACGTCCCGCCAAAGTTGCCACTGATACTCAAGCAATTTTGCAAGGCTGCCATTCGTACTCAGCCCTACGATCTCTTAAAATGGTCCAGTGCGTATTTTAGAGCCTTAGCGGAAGGAGAAGAACCTCCGGCGAAGTCGAGATTGGAATATCCGCCTCCTTGTACTCCTTCAGGGTTGACTCTTGGATTTCTGAAGGTCCTTCTTCGTCAGTTTGGAGGTAATTTATTGTCCCAATTCCTCTTACATACCCTGTTAAAACGTTCATAGAATTCTTACATTTTTCGTACAAATGATTTAGAGAAAACATAAATGTTATGTCTTAAGAAGGAGGGCATATTTATTATAAATTTCTAAATCATTTTACCACCTTATAACGTCGTCTTGTAACTCTTTGACATTTTTTTTTAACGTTAATACGTTTATGTGATAAATTTATGTTTGCAAAATTTATTAACGAAACGTTATTAAATTGGTATATACTTATTTAACGGCGTTTGTCCGTAAGATCAATTTTTGCGAGCTTTGTGAATTGTTTAATCTGAATATTTAATTTGTTGTTATATGGAAATACATGGTGCTCAGATTATAACAAGGTACTTTCGGTGGATTCGGTTCTGCATCGGTGGGACTGCCTCTGTTTGGACCGTAAGGAACTGTGCCTGATAATGACGATCGGAAGGTTTCGGCGTAAATGCCAAGTGAAAAAGTTTTTAGCAGTAGCTGTGGGACTTCTGAGCTCCAGCCTTTTCGAGACGATGATTATGTTGTGCGAGTTATTCACTCATGAACCTGATGGCGGTTCCGCCATGATTCCGCTTTCGCTCTTCATGGAACTTTATGGGTAAATTAATCCACGGCGACATCAAAGTGCACTGATAAAACTACCCATGTAAATTTGCATACCGAATCATTGGTTGTTTCTAAATCTTCCTGGGACAGAAATGAGTATAAATTTCCATCGATTTTTATCAGTGCGCTCATATAATATCGATACCACGAGCTACATTTCCCTGTCTTCGTTTTTAAAAATTCTGTAATCCGATAATACGTGCCAATTTCTGCTCAAATTGCAGATATTTGGCGAATCTTCGATGCGATGGAGTCCCGAGGGAATCTCTCGATGAAGACGAGGAAATTCTGATCCAGCGAGAATCGGATCGCAGTGCGTCTTCGCAAAAGACACGAGATTTCTTTGACGACCCTCGTGTACCTTCTGCAGGTCGAGAAACCGAAACAGAGCCTAACATGGAAATCCGAATGGTGGTGAAAAACGACACAGTGAACGGGATGCAAGGTAGAATGGGATAAATTTTGCAAAAATTAATTTGCAGGGTGTAGCTCAAGAAATTTTTCCGTTTCGTTTCAGGAGATGATCAACAGATGAAGTCGGAGGTATTCGAGAAAAGCTCTGGAAGCCCTGTCGACAAATTTGACGACGCATCCTTAACTAGTAATTCAATGAAAGAAACCAGCAATGGCTTCGGCACTGACGAGAAAAGTCTTGGGCAAACGTCCTCGCAACAAGAAGAAAGACAACCGACCGAATCCGAAGGAACAGAGACCAGCAACAATACCGCGGTGGGAAATTTGGGGAAATTTTGCGAAACGGATGGAGATTCACGCAAAACTCGACATGTCGAAGAGTCAGCCGTAGAGAAGAAGAGGATGAAGTTGGAAGAAGTCGGACTACCGAAACACTATCCATATATTCCTGGTAAAGGTTTTGAAAAGTATCGCACGCTGTTAAAAGCATTCATCAAATTCATACACTTTTGGTACATAAGATCGTGGTAAAATTATATATAAATTTCAATGTTGTTTCTTCTTAACAGTGCACATTTTTAAATTGACATTTCATTCCAGGAATAGGACCCCAGCTATCGCCGGAACAAATAGCGAAAGTTGAGGCATGGATGATAGAATGTGCGATTCTTCAAGAAGGCATGGTCGGTCCTAGAAACCTGCGACATTTTCAGTGTCCTTCGTTGGACAGACCATGGACATCCGAATCTCAACTTTAGAAGCCTAGGTCAACAGAGTCCGACTTCGTTTATACTACCAGTTCATATATTCTATAGAAACGTTGCATGTTTAGATTCGTGGACATTCAAATAGAATAAAAGAGAACGAGTAAATTGTTAATTACATTACATTAAGATGGTTGTCCTTGATCGAGATTGTGATTAATAAAACGGATTACCGTACACGCATTAATTTTTCCCTTTTTAGTATACCTTGATTATTAGATTGACTTTTCTTTGTTTTTTACCAAATTATTGCCCGAAGTCACGATTCCATTTAAACCGAAAGTGGTTTTTGATACGTTTCTGTTGCAAGATCTTGAGTTAATAAATATATTTTCAACAGTAACATACAATAAAATCTTTAGCTCCATATAAATTTTACCACAGAATCGTGTACGGTACATAAAAATGTCTGTACATGTAGCACTATTTATATGCCTAGTTATTTAAAACACATTTTACAGTAAGTCTAAGGATATTAAAGATAAAAATTGGAGGAGCGAAATACAATTAAACATAAGTCACTGCGTCTATAATCGATAACCGGAGAAAACAATTGAAATCGAAAAAACAGTGAATAAAATAAAAGCAGATCATTTTTATTAGGGGTACAATAATGTGTTCAAACAAGCATAAACAAAATAGAAATAATATACTTTAACATTAATACCGCTACATAAGGAAAATTAAAAAAAAAGAAAAAAAGGGCAATATCTTATTTATCACAGCAACGAATAAAATAGTAGTTGAAATTGTTTCATTGTTTGATAATGTTCCAATATATCTTTTTGACGATGATTGTAACGAAATATGTCCAAAAACTTTACAAGTGATTACATTTTAGGACCATCTTCCCAATGGTTCTGAAATTATTCACTAGACATGACAATACAAATTGACGTTAGCATATAAATAGTGACAATGATTCATATCGCATACAATATAAGAGATGAATAAAAGTTTATTTAATAATCAAGGCAAAGGGTTGAGAATAGAACCCTTTCCTTGTTTTCTAAATAATAAAAAATGACGATCATTTTGAGAGTTAAGAAAGATCCAGCTTAGGAATTCCGTGCACTTAAACGAGAAAAGCAGGCAGCGATCGAATTCTTAAAAACCTACGCACCTGGTGATAAAAGAGATGGTATAAAGTAAGCAGAAGTAATATTACAATAAGCACCAATAATAAATTCCTAGCTTTCGCGCGGTTTGTTCTCCATTCAAAGAGTTCCTGTCGATGTGAAAAACGATTTCGATATTGAGCCGGTAGTTCGAAACTGCTTCTTAATGGGTACAATGAGCGATAAAAATCACTTAACAATGCTCGAACAATTTCATTTTCAGAGGGCCGATGGGGATCCATGTCATCGTTCAAGCAGATGAATTTTCTAAGAACGGACATATATTTTTTTAAATCAACGTGACCAAATTATCGTATAAAATATTGTTTATACAGTAAAATAAGGCTTACTTCGGTTCCCTTCGTATTTCATCTAAAAGCTGCACCGTCAATGATATATTACTGATTAGCATCTCAAAAATTTCATTTTTTCCAGCTTTAATTATTTCATATTGATATCGTCTGCATTTCCCGAATCTTGATTGAATTTTTTTAGCTATACTTTCGCATTTCAGTATGAGTTCTCTGGAAACAATTGGCTAAAAGTACAAGAAATACAAGACATATATTATGAAGTCGAAGAAAATAATAGAATGCAGAAAACTAATTTATAGATTAGTTTCAACATCTTTTGCATAGTAGAAGTAGTACTCACAAGAGTTGAATCGAGATATCTTTCACCTATCGGTGGCTCCGGAGTTTCAGTAATGATAACATTACGAGAACAATTCGTTATGATATTTTCAAATTCTAAGACTAAGCTATAGTCTAATGGCAGTATATACAATCGGGACAGTAACGTTCGAATTTCTCTGTCTGACCAAGTCCTGTAAATATTGACCAAATATAAAAATCATACATTGTTGATTAGAAGGAACAAAGTCACTTACCCTGACTTATCCGTGTCAAACATATCAAATATCTCTGCAACGGAGACGTTCCGTCTCTCACTAGACAAGAAGTAGAAGTAAGAAAATGCATATTGCATGTCTTCGGAACTCCTTAACTTGTGACTCGATGTCTTTTTAAATTCACTGTGGAACTTTTTTTGCATTTCACGTACAATCCGTTTATCTAATAAGTGTGGCATGTGAGCTGGTACTTTCCTTCTCTCAAAACCGTAAGCTGCATTATAAATTCTATTAACATATAGTAATGACTCCGCATAGGTATCAAGCTGCCTCACCTTACGTTTCCATTGATCATTATATTTTAACTTGTACAATTTACCGGTATTATTGACATGAACCAAATTAATAATATCGTCGTTCAGACGCGGTCTAAGCTGCACGCGACGTTCTGTTCGATTAAATGCCCCGATTTTATTCATTTGTAAAATATTGGAGATTATGCTTTCCTCTGTGGTATCAATTTGAGTTTTCTGTCTATTTAACGTCATATTTTTATTTTCTACTCTATCAAACTTTCTGTCTATTTCTTTATTATGAAATATGTTTGTATCAGTTTTCCATACATTAGATTCATTCGACTTCAATGATCTCTGAACTAGTGATCCAATACTGGTCATCGCAGTCAGTATGTTGCTCCTATTTTTTAAAATATTCAAAATTCTCATAGCATCTTGATTTTTTAATTGTGTATCCTGTAAAAATTTGTAAGGATAATCACTTTCTTCTTTTAGCGGTTCACTATCTGTTGTCATTGGTGTAACGTCACAGTCACCACCTGTTAATAAATATATTTTTTCAGTATATAGTTGCTGATGTTGATGCCAATGTAATTTTTAAATTATGATACAATTATAGGGGACAAAATATTTACGTATTAAACTTTCTTTTACCAGAGATATAACTTATACTAGCCATCAAATTCACACAATGTTGTATTGCAAGCCGGATCGCATGCTCCATCTCCAACCCATGCCCATGGGCAGATTTCAGAACAATCTGGGACCCACCATGCTTGGTATATTTTTTGACCACCTGCTTGTGTTATGAAATCCTCAGGCCATATTTCTGCACCCAGCATCACATCGTCATTAAAGTATAAAAATTTATCGGACAGACCAGGAATCCTGGTAAAGGAATAATATTTGGTAAGCATTAAAATGCAAATTTAAATGTTCATTTGTTTAGCATTCCATTTTGATCAAATTAGTTACCATACCTATGTATATGACTTTCAATTGCAGGACTAGAGAATGTCGGTAAATCGGCTGGATCAAGAAAAATATCATCATGTTTAGTAAGGGTCATACGTGGATTATCCATATCCAGCCAATTTGGTATTTGGCCATTGGTTACAATATATACATGTCGCACCCAAGGGGCGTACATTTCTATGGATCTAAGCGAATAGCGTAGTTCGTCTTTGTCACTGAACCTCGGTGTAGCTGCATTTATATCGTTTCGAGAAACATATCTCTGAAGGTTTTTCAGAAATGCTGGATCGGAACCATTTACCCATGTATACACCACATCGATGGGTACATGTTGGCACAATTTATTTTGAAATGATATACCAAGTATATTGTCATTGAATGAATGAAATACTGCTTTGTATTTCTCTTTGCTCCATGCTATCCAAACCTATTTTGTAAAACGGACAATTATGTTATCAATTCAAATAATAATTAAAATGATTTACTTGAATGACAAAATAGTCTATATAAATAAAATAATAACAATGACAATGCCGATACTAATAAAGCATTTACTATGCTTCAGTGAATAAATGCATAAGATTAATAACCCAGAAAGACAGAATCAACGTTAATAAGAGTGCAATCATCTAGCCGGTAATTTCATTGCAAGAATCTCAAATTTACTTTGACGTAACATTCCTAACCTCTCCAAAATGTATTATGCCGATGAATATGCAAGTAAATGCTATAAGAATTACAAGTAGCGAGTATTTATGTGAAAGGAGGTCGTAGCACCGCCGTTGTACTATTTTCCATGTGCTCATTATATCACTGAATGTTTTCGACGTGATTATCATCGCAAAATTTCAAGAGACATGGTCCACCCCTTCGTGTCCATGTTTCCATAGCACCGGCAACTAGCCGGCATCCTCCGAGTTCCAAAGCCATTTACTATTAAAATACATTAAATATTTATGCAATGACGTGTCTAGAAGAAGAGTAATTGACGATAATGGAGCCTTCAGATCTTAGAATACATTATTCACTAATGGACACAGCATTAAAATTAAAACTCAGTTGTTAGAATAACAACCGGTGGCAAACTGATAGATGCTATCGTTAAACGATGCAGTCATTTGAATCTCGCGCCATTTAAGGCGGTATTCTTGCTGCTATAACAACTAGAAAACGATTCACATTATGATGTACATACATACACGGGAATACATAACAGATTTAAAATGATTTTTTTTCTTTATCTCTCATTTGAAATTCTTTAGAAAACGGCTAAAATTAAAACATTTGAGCAGCCTAGAAGTACCGTTCGTCGTTTTCGTGAAAACGTCCCTTCAATTAAGAGTACCGAATTTTAAATACAAAGTTGGACAATCTGTCGTTCATCTCCGTCCGCCATATTGGACAAAGAGGATAATACAAAAATTTTTTTAAAGAAAGAATAATAATTTTGACGTGACACTTTCACCTTTAGAAATACTTAAGATACAGTTACTATCGCTTTTTTAGAGTGATCATTATTTCAGGAAATGGAATTATTCTGCTCATAGTTGATCTTCTCCGATCCTCGCGGTGACCTCAGTTGCCTCAGTTTTCGAAGATTACCGTTGGTAGCCCGGATTGGCATTCCACGGTTATGTCGCGTTTTAAAATGGTCACACGCGTAACGCGATAGATAATATTCCATTTTCATT